ACACACACACACACACACACACACACACACACACACACACACACACACACCTGATTTATTTCAATTTTATGTGCATGGTGTTTTGCTTGCACCTCTTGCATGCAGTATCCACGGAGGCCGGAAGAGGGCATTGAATCCTTTGGACCTGGAGTTCTAGACAGTTGTGAGCTGATGTGTGTAAATTGGGAACCAAACCCAGGTTCTCAGGAAGCATAGCCAGTGCTCTCAAACACTGATCATCTCTGTCTCCGGCACACATTTTCCCCTTTTTTAATGTAGTTGCCCAGAATGCCTGAGACTCTGAGTTCAACCTCTATCTGTTTGGTTTTGGTCCCATGAAGTTCCAGCTGGCCTGGGACCTACTGTTTAATTGGGTCTGGCTTCAAACTCCTGATCTTCCCGTCCCCATCCCCAAGGGCTTGGGATTGCAGGCGTGCAACCCCACATTTAGTGGCAGCTTGCCCATGCCCACGGGGCAGCAGTAGAATTCACTAGAGGTAGCTGGGTGCCCACCGTTTCAAACGCTGGTTCCTTGACACTTATGAGGAGATGAAGGCTCAGCTTAGGGCTGACTCGGGGAAGAGATTAAGAGGATGGAGTGAGGCCTCACTGCTGTAGCCTGGTGGCTTTATTTAGGGGCTGTGGCCTCAGCCACTTCTGCCTGTCTTCTCCAAAGACCTTCCACATACCTCGGGAGTGCCACAGAAAGTGGATGTGGTCCCCTCGGACTCCACACATTCTTTGCAGAGGCCAAAATCTGTCAGGACCACGTGTCCCTGTGGGTGAGAGACAACAGGAAGAGGTTAGCGGTCAAAGCTCAAATGTCACACCTTAGAGAAATGGCTGTGCAGTGCAGTGAGGAGACACAGGCTGCATGCTTTCTGCAGACTCAGAGTTCCTGGCCCAGATGCCAGCAGATCTTGGGGCACAGGCTGGGACCATGACACCACGACTCCTGTCCTCCTGTATAAAGCTGTGCTGCCCTCTAGAGGGCACAACCAGCAACTGAGCAACAGGGGGCTGTGAAGGCCCAAATTTCCTTGCGCAAAAGTGGTTAGAGCCATCTGTGCTGAGGGCATCCGTCCTGTGAGATGTCCTGAGGCCTCTCTTGCAACCACAGTGCAGTGACACCCCTCCCTCTGCCCCACCCTGTTTTCATCCCCTTTAAGTTGTACCACTCTCCGTCTCCTCAGAGCCCTAGCTTCCACCTGGCCGCACCTCCCACCCCTCTCCTCCACCTGCCACCACCGCCACAGGCCTATATATCTATATCTGCACGGACATCTGTACCTGTGCGTGGTCTCCTGTACACGTTTATGTACATAGATATGTGCATGAGCACATATGTATACATATATACACACAAGAATATATGTTACCATACGCATACATGCATAATGCATAATTACCAATGTACACCGACCATGGCTGAAGAGCACAGATTTGAGCTGCATGCGGGCACGCGCGCGCACACACACACACACACACACACACACACACACCACACCACATACTTGACAGTCCAAGAGAATGTTTTCTGGCTTCAAGTCTCTGCAGAAAATAAGAGAAAACAGTCATTTACTGAATAAATTGTGGACTTGGGTCCCAGCGGGAGAAACTCCTGGAAGCTCTCACAGATGAATAAGGAAAAGTCCAGGGAAGCTGGATACTTGACTCCTAAGGGAAGGACACCTCAATCTAAAATAAGAGACCTCCTCAGTCAAAGGGCCAAGTTCCCTGGGACCTCATGGCCCACACAATCCCTGCCTGGGGGAGCAAAAACATCCTGGGACTGAGCACAAGCCACGAGCAGGCCTCACCTGTAAATGATGTTGAGAGAGTGCAGGTAGCCAATGGCGCTGGCCACCTCTGCAGCGTAGAACCGGGCCCGGGGCTCCAGGAACCTGCGTTCCCGCTGCAGGTGGAAGAAGAGCTAGGAGAGGGGACAGTGAGATGGCTTCTGGATTCCAGGTCCTAGATCACAAGACAGGGGCCTTCAAGACCCTCGACTCCGCGCAGGCCAGTCACCCCAGGCTCAGCTGCGGTGTACTTGACAGGGGAGACTGCATGCTGACCCCACCCCTCAGGGCGCTTATGCTCTCCCTGCCTTTGGTCAGCATAATTAAGCAGCCACTGTCTTCCAGGCTGCAAGTCAGGCGCTTTTATAACTCCTGTTCAATCCTCACGACCATCTTCAAGAGCTCGGCTGTGACGCCAGATTCATGTCTAAGGGGGAGGAGCTAAATGGTTTGTCTAAGGTCCCACATCTCAGAGTTGGCAGAGCTGGAATTTGAAACCAGGTAGTCCAAGGCACACTTTGTTGGGGGGAGAGCTGGGGAGGGAGTAGGAAGGGATATATTCTATGAACCCAGATTGACCTTGAACTCAATCCTCCTATCTCTGTATTCCAAGTGTTGGGATTATAGGTGTGAGGCACCATGCCCAACAAAAATGTGCGTTTTCTTTAACCCAAGCATTAGGATGCCACACTGCGCTCAGTTTTAGATCTCTCTGTTTGGTCTGCTTTGTTGGTTGCAAAGTCATCATTTAGGGATGTGCAGGATAAAACATCCCCTGTTGAGCTCATGCTGAAAAACATTTGGTTATAGGTAAAATCTGGTGCAATCGAAGAGGGGTCCTATTAAATTTTACCCCTTTGTTCTGTAAGACAAAGCAAAGTTCAAGATGATGCCTAGTTTGTCCCTGCCCTGCTTCGGGGTTAGCAGGTAACTCAGATCTCTACTTAGGACAGTGATATCAAGCTAGAGAAATAGCTCAGTGGTTAAAGTGCAAGTATAAAGACCCGAGTCCAGGTTCCCAGATAAATGGCAGGAAGAGCATGGGTGCCAACCTGTAATTCCAGCCTTGGAAGGTAGAGACGGGATCATCAGAGCAAGCTGGCTAGCAAGACTAGCTACACTGTCAAGCTCTGGGTGTGTTTGGGAAACTCCGATTTGATGAAAAAGATGGAAGGGAAGTTGAAGGGAGCTCTTGACATCATCAGCCTCTGGCCTCCGTGTGCAAACACACATGCGCCTACACGTTTGCTCCTCACATAAAAATAGGCGTGTATAATACATATACATGGAAATAAAAAAATGATAGTGATGGGCCTGGGCCTACGGCCTGGGTGTCGGAAATGGAAGCACCAGGAACAGTGACCACACATTTCTCTTAGTAGAGACCTTTCCTGGGGTCTCTGAAAGTAAGTATGAGCCACCTTGTGTAGGAACCACTCCTGCAATATCAGGAGTAAAAGGGACCTGGTGTAGACTGGGTTGTCTTGAGAAGCGCCTTACTGAGTCTACCTAGTGGCTCTGTTGTAGGGGTTCAGTGAGATCACTCTGGAGTGGGGTACGTAGTGGACACACGGGAGGACAGCTCCCCTCCTGAGGTCCGCTCACCTCTCCTCCATTGACATAGTCAAGCACGAAGTAGAGCTTCTCAGGGGTCTGGAAGGAGTAGCGCAGGCCCACGAGGAAGGGGTGGCGCACGTTCTTCAGTAGCACATTGCGCTCTGCCATGATGTGGTTCTGCTGTGGAGTCACACAGACGGGTCCATGTCACAGTTAAGGGCAGCCCCTTTCATTCCAGCGTAGTCCAGGTGACCTTGCTTATAGACGTGTCTTGCCCCAGCTCAAATACCCACATTGGCTCTCTATTGCCCCCAAGCCAGGCCTAGGCTCCTTGTCTAGTACCTGAGCCTCCCCCAAGCCACTCACACTAGTAGAACCTCCAAAGCCCCTGCCCCAGGGTGACAGACAAAGCATATACTATGATGGGATGACTGAGTCCCAGAGAAACTTTCTAGGAAAAAAATGTCATGCAGTCCCTATACTCATGTCTTTGGTTGTTAGTGACTGTTTTACTCTTTTGACTTTTGTGGGGAGCGCACCATCCAGGTCCCAACTAAAACACACGGAGGCTTATTGTTTCTTATGAATGCCCGGTCTTAGCGTGGTTTGTTTCTATCCAGCTTTTCTTAACTTAAATTATCCCCATCTATCTTTTTCCTCTGGACTTTCGCCTTTCTCTATTTCTGTAGACCTTTTCTTTCCTTCTTACTCCGTGTCTGGCAGTGTAGCTGAGTAGTTGGCCCCTGAAGTCTCCCTCCTTCCTCTCATTCCTTGATCTTTTCTTTGTTTACAGTGTTCTGTCTGAATGTGTGCCTGCATGCCAGAAGAGGGCACCAGATTTCATTACAGGTGGTTGTGAGCCACCATGTGGTTGCTGGGAATTGAACTCAGGACCTCTGGAAGAACAATCAGTGCTCTTAACCTCTGAGCCATCTCTCCAGCTCCTTGATCTTTTTTTCTCTCTTTTTTCTCCTTCTATTTATTCTGTCTGCCAGCCCTACCTATCCTTTCTCCTGCATCACTATTGGCCATTTGGCTCTTTATTAGATCAATCAGTTGTTTTAGAGAGGCAAAGTAACACAGCTTCACAGAGTTAAACAAAAGCAACATAAAAGAATGCAACACATCTTTGCATCATTAAACAAATATTCCACAGCATAAACAAATGTAACACACCTTAATATTCTACAACATTTGATCCTGCTATTTTATCCACCTGGACAGCACCCCCCCGTGTGTGTGTGTATGTGTGTGTGTGTGTGTGTGTGTGTGTGTGTGTGTGTGTGTGTGTATGTACAAGAAGTTGATGATGGGTGTCTCCCTCCACCACGCTCTCCACCCTATTCTTTGAGGCAGGGTCTCTCACTGGATCTATAGCTTATTGATTGGGGTAGTCCAACCAGCTAGCAAGCTGGAGAGATCCTTTCTCTCCACCTCCACAGCACTGAGATTAGAGATGCATGCTGCCACACTTAGCTTTTTCATGTGGGCTCCACAGGATCACACTTAGGTCCTCATGCTTGCACAGAGAGCACTATGTTGTTTCAGCCATCTCCCTAGCCCCGGACATCCCACCTTCCTTTCAAACTATCAGAATGCTGTTTACTGTCAGGGTCAGTTCAAGACCACCCCTCTTTGTTGGCATGACAATAAACTGAGTAGTCTGACTTGACATTCTATCCCCTCTCTGTCCTCCTAACAGTATTGAAGGGATTCAAGTCGCCGAGGTATCTAGAGATCCAAACTTGCTGTGGAATACCCACTATGATTGGTTTAATAAACAAGCTGACTTACCAATATCTGAATAGGATAAATTTAGGGAGGGCAGAGTCAGAAGAGTTGCCAGCCAGCCAGAGAATGAGTTGGAGACACAAAATGGGATAGGGGTAAAAGCCACGAGCCTCAGGGCAACACATAGATTAATAGAAATGGGTTAAGTTGTAAGAGCTAGTTAGTAAGCTTGAGATAAAGGCTGAGCATTTATAATTTATATTAATTATTTGGAAATTGGCTGTCTGTGGTTGGGACAGGAAAACTTAACCTACACAATCTGGCCAGGCTGAAAGGGCTTTTGAAGAGGGTGCACTATGAGCCCACAGTGTGCACACGGGTAGTCTGACACCTAGAGGGAGCAGAGAGCTGGTCCATCCGTGGACCTGTTAACTGGAAGGTAGAGACCTCCTTATCCTCCAGAAACCTCCTAGGGAGATGGCTGGGCCTGCCTTCCTCTAAAAAGGTTAGAATCCTGTGTGTCAGCTGGACTTTCAGAGCTGCCCACACTGGACCTCTTGGGAAGCCACGCTAGGCTAGGGATGAAGAAGCAGGAGGGCAAGTGGGCCTTCCCAAGTTCTGGTACCTCTTTGCTCTTCAGGATGGATTTCTTCTGTAGCACCTTCACTGCGTAGAAGGCCCCGTCAGACTTGCGCTTGGCCAGTAGAACCTGAAGAAAAGTACAGACATAAGACATTGGGGATGATGGATTTCCCCTGGCAGCTCCCAGACTCATTCTGCAGGTATGTGGCACGCCAGACTTCCTTTCGCTTATGCTAATGGAGACCGCAGGCGGATGACTCCAGAAAGTTCTCCTTGCTTACCTTCCCATAGTTCCCTTTGCCAATGACTTTGAGGAAGTCAAAATCTGTGGGTCGGGCACTGTGGACCGGAGAAGAACAAAGATCAGCATTTGGGAGCTCAGGAAGCTCAGTCCCTGGTTTATTTCAGAGCTGAAAAGTGCAAGTGGCTTGCAGGAGCCCCCTGGCCTCCCTCCTGAAGAACATTATGTCTTATGGTCCAAAGGAGCTCAGAAGATGGAACCTCACACACCTCCCCCTATACCCACCCTGGACTCACAGGCCAGTTATTACCAGGAGGGACAATCAGGTACATGGTACAGAAGTCAGTGTCCTCCACCCCTGCCCACCCCCACTCCCAGCCAGGAGAAGGCAGAGAGCTGCTGACAAAGATGTTTGGGGTCATTCCAGGTAGAGAGGGCTTGGCCTGGGCCAAAGCTGGGAAGTTAATGAGAGACGAAGCTGAGCAGGCACAGGCTTAGAAGGATTCTGGTTCAGCGGGCAAAGGCTTTGTGTACACCATGGACCCTGGATTTTATTTCTAGAGCAAAGAGAATCAGCCATGGGACAGCCAAGTAGGAATTTTATCTTAGAAAACAGAACTCACTTTGGGTTAGCGGATGGTCCCAGGTTGATGTTCCCATTGGCCCTAGAGGGCTGAAGACATTTAAAGAAAGAGGCAACGAAGATCAGCAAGCTTCCTCCTTTTCCTTTGGCCTAGGCCCTGATTCCGCCAACATCACTACTAACTAGCTTACCTTGCCATCTCCCTCCCTTCCTTTATTGGTTTTCCTCTCTGTACCCACCCACTCCTCCGTAGCCACCCTTCCTCCAGCTAATCATTCATGTCACACTTGCTTCTAATGACCATCATGGCAATTAAGAAAAGAAAACCAAATCCAGAAAGGAGTTGTCCAGGGTCTGATAGGTGGCCAAGGTGGAATTTGAACCGATGTATTTTCACAACCAGTGTCATGTTTGTTTGCTTGTTTTTTCCTAACCAAATCTACTTCTGATAGCTCCCTGCCAAACCTCTCTTCAATGCTGTTTGCAAATGGCCATCTCTGTGAGTTCACAGTAATCTGGTAGATACAAATTCTGGTTGAAGGCCCACAGGACTGACTGGGATCTCTACAGATTTCCTCAGCCTTGGGAGAAAGTGAGTCTCTGGTGCAGGGGGCTGGGTGTTGGAAGACTAGGAACCACTCACCTGTGGGCTAGGAACTCCAGCCGGGCTGGAGGCCATTCTGTAGCTGTGATGATGAGGTAGGCTCTGGAGGACCAAGGAAGACCAAGCACGATGGATCTTGGCCCCCAGGCGGGGCTGCCCTCTTTCCCACCTTCAACTTCTGATACAGCCTTGGCAGCTCTCACCCTAAAGACCGGAAGTCCATGCGCGGATGAGACAAATGACAGACAAAAGGCCAGACCCAGCCTTTCCACCAAACAGTTCAGGAGGGATGGAGAGGGGCAGCTAGGGTGGTCCCTGCCTGGCAGCGTCTTTGCAAAGACTGGAGACACCCAGGACAGGAAGATTCTTGTGAATGACGGAAACTCCAGAACTCCAAGGTGGCTGGAGCAGACAGGAACCTCGTAGGCTTAAAGCTAAATATTTCCTTTTACTTCTCAGGGAGGCACGGAGACCTTGAAAAATGCTTTATGTATTTTTGTTACTCTAATTTTTTAAACAGGGCCTTGCTCTGTGGTCCATGCTGGTCTGTCTTGAGCTTGCTGCATATCCTAGGTTGGCCTTGAACTGCCTTAGCCTCCCAAACGGTGAGAAAACCGAAGAGTGTTCCCACACGTGACTTAGAATAGGATTTTCTTGACTCTTACTGTTTGTGGGTAGCCTGGGCTCTCCAGACTCACAAATAGCCATGTTGGCAACTCTGAATTCTTGTGGAAAGTCCCAGGATAAGCTCTGTGTTGAATACAATCTTGCCTGGGTACTCTCCTCAGAGTCCAATAACAGTGACTACACTGGGACTTTGGATCAGAACCATGAAATCCCCTAAGTAGCCGGTGTCTGTGAGTTCAAGTGGTAGAAGGGTGGGTAGCTGGTCTATGCAGCCAGCAGCATAGTAGGAGAAGCCAACTGTCTAGGGTTTGGTTCAGGGGCATGGAACCTCATCGGCTCTGTGCCTCCCACAGGGCGTGGTGCAAATTATTCATCCAAAGTTTTGGTTGCTGTAGGACCTGGGCTAAATAGCTTGGCATCTCTTAGATTATCTTCTTTTCAGGAGAAGTCTTTGAGGCACCACCCTGTGGCTGGGTGGGACACTGACACCCACTCACCTGTGGCCAGGAACTTCTACCAGGTCAGAGGCCACCCAGATGAAAAAGTAGCATTAATGGGAGTTCCCAACTAGGCTGATCTGGAGGCCTCCCACCGCCAAACTCCTGCAGAGCGGGCTATAGAATTCTAGCCCAGGGAGGTGTATCCTGGCCTCTCCGATGCCTGACAGGCTATGCTTCTACAGTCAGCCTGAGACACCACCATCCCTCCCGTGGGTCCTGTGCCTGGCTCTGGCTGCCCGGGTCCCACATACCTATGCAGCCTGGGCAGAGGCCTCGGGGAGATGCAGCAGTTGGAGCCGAGCACAGGCCGTGGACAAGAGACTCTCTCTGTTCTCCCAACAAGAGCCAAGTGTCAGTGCCTGGTGCCCCCAGTGCAGAGCTCAGAACTTCCAGCAGTGGCAGCAGCAAGGGGGCTGGTGATGTCATACAGATCGAGCAGTGCTCAATGACGGGACTGGCACGGGAGACCTCTGTTCCCTAGGGGATGCTATTTCTCCCTAGGAGATGAGGGATTATTCAGCAGTCCTAGAAGACCCTGGAGACCACTGGGAACTGTAAGAACGTGTGTGACTGTACGGGTTAGGGTATGTGCTCTCTGCAAGTATTTCATGTAGAGTTGTGCTTTGGCTTGTCTCTGGTGTGCCAGCGTGGCTGCGAATATCAGATATTTGTGTCAGTGTGTGTGTGTGTGTGTGTGTGTGTGTGTGTGTGTGTGTAAGAATGTGTACATGTGCCAGGTAGTGGTGGTGCACACTCAGGAGGTAGAGGCAGGTGGATCTCTGTGAGTTTAAGGCCAGCCTGGTCTACAGAGTGAGTTCCAGGACAGCCAGGGCTACTCAGAGACACCCTGTCTCAAAAAACCAAAAAGACAAAAACAAAGAAGAAAGAAAGGAAGGAAGGAAGGAAGGAAGGAAGGAAGGAAGGAAGGAAGGAAGGAAGGAAGAGCACACGTGTTGGTGTGACAGCATTGTACGTACATGAATCTGCATCTGTGTTGAGTTCATAATTGTTTTGCTGTATGTATGGTGGATGTAAAGTCCCAGACATCAGTGTGCCACTGTATAGTATATATCAGCATGTATTGTGTGTATATATATATATAAAATGTTTGGTGTGAGTCTGCATGTGTTTATGCGTCTGTCTTCAGATGAGACTGTGTCTAGTAATATGTGCATGTGACATATGCATGCATAGGTCCGTACCTGTGTGTCTGTGTCCATACTGGTAAGTGTTGGATAACCTTTGTGTGTGAATATGTATATACACATATAGAAGGCTCATCAGTTAGAATCCAGGGTTCTATGCAGACTCTATATAGACCACCTGGTCTGGAGGAGAGGTCCCTGGGACCTGAGCTATGGCCACAGAGAACAACCCAAAACCATGTAGGTGCTCCAGAGGAGCAGGAGCTGGCTCTCCGTCCAGCTGCCCTTGGTCGTGGACTACGGAGCACTTGGCTCCCTGGGTTTTCCCTATGGGCTCTTCAAGAGCTCACTCTTCTGGCTCACTGTCCCTGAAACAGGCTGGCTGGTCCACAGCTCTTCTGCTGTGTGAGAACTCATGCCTCAGGAGCTCCAGGCCCACAAAGGCCTGCCTGGCTGTGAGGTGTGCTGTTAGGTTCTCACGGGGTCCTTTCCTCTATCAGAGGATCAGAAGGGGTTGACAGGTGCTCTGTGCAAGGAAGGAATTCATGGGAGCAACACGGCCCCCATCTTCCTGGAGCTTTCTGTGGAGCTGTGCCGTCAGTCTAGGCACAGAGGGGGTGAGTCAAGCATGCTTCTTTTGCTTTTGTTTTCTGTTGTTGTTTTGTTTTTTGAGACAGGGTTTCTCTGTAGCTTTGCAGCCTGTCCTGAAACTAGTTCTAACTAGTTCTTGTAAACCAGGCTGGATCAGGCATTCTTGTAGACTAAAATTCAAGGGACCTGGAGGTGTCGACCTAAGAACACTGCAGTAAACAGCATCAAAGTTTCATTTTCCCACAAAGTAGAAATGTCTGCAGGGCCTACACGTTGACAAAACACACGTCCTTACCAAAAACATTGCGATATGTTGACAAAACACACGTTCCTTACCAAGAACATTTCTTTTCAATAACAAAAACCCATGGGGTCTTTGGGGAGCAGCAGCAGGACTTTAGAACAAGATAAAGGGACTAACACTAGGCTAAGAGCCTCTGGCTGGCACTTAGGAACACTTCCACCATGCTGGCTCAGATCCTCATCCTGCACCCTGGCTAGACAACCCATTTCTCTCACTTTCTTCTTTCATGAAACTTCTCTAAGGACCTGTTCTCATCTCCACTCCTTTTCTGTTCCACTCCTGAACCCACCTTAGATTTCATCCCAGCATCCTGAGGAATCAGTGTTCAGTGGCCTCATATGTCTGGGTCAGTGATGACTCCCAGGTTCTCACCTTCGTCAGCCTAGCCAACGCTCTGGCATCCTCCCTGGCACCTTTCCTTTGCCTACATGGCTCTGAGAGGTCCTGGGGTTCCTTATTGGACTCTCTTCCCCTTCAACCCTGGCTCACTCCTTGGGTCTCTGTCTCCCCTCATTTCCCGTGTCCACGAACCAGTTCGATGGCTTAGCTCTTTCTGCTTTCTCTGTCTAGAAAGCTCTTACCCCCACACAACACATGGCTAGCTTTCAGTAACATGGCAGAGGACCTGGCTTCAGCGGCACCTCCAGGAGAGGCCTGTGCTGACTGATAGTAAGTAGGTGATGGATTCTCTTGATCTATCTGGGGCTTAGGGCTTTCAGTGCTGAGCCTGTGCAGTCCTGAGTAAATCCTGATGGCCGGTCCATCCCTTCACAGTAGCCAGCTTCTCTGGAGACTGTGTCTCTGTGTCTCTTATCATGTCACTAGTCGAGTGCTAATTTTCCATCGTAAACTAGAACATCAGCTCACGAAAGCAGACTCTTCGCTCACTATTGGATCCTTTAGATCTATAACTGACCTGAAATAGAGGAAGTGTTCATGACACATTTAATTAATGAAGTCATGGAGTTGAGTGATCAGGTATACATACAAAATGAATAATTATATAACCCAAACATCTGTCTATGTAAACCTATATGGATCAAAATGGGGGCATACATCTGATGCTATGATCAAGGAGACAGCAAGTTTCAGAATGGTGGGTGCACTGGGGTACTAATTTTATTAAAATGGGGGAAAAGACAATGGACATTTGTATAAATAGCAACAACAAAATTCAGGAGGCCATGACCACTAGTTATTAGGTCATTTGTTTTTCTTTTTGAACTATGATATAAAATTTCTTAAAGGGCCACTGTTTCATTGCTAAAGTACCAAGCCTCAGCCGTTCTTCAGCATGTTCACTGCTCAGTCTCCTGTCACCTTGCCCCATCCCACCCTGCAGTCCTCAAGAGTTCCTTTTCTCTTGTATTACTGCCTTGTGATAGATAAAGCCTGGCCCAACTTGGCATCAGCGTCTTCTCCTGGTTATTTTATTTTTATTATTACATTTATTGACTCTCTCTCTCTCTCTCTCTCTCTCTCTCTCTCTCTCTCTCTCTGTGTGTGTGTGTGTGTGTATGTAAAACTTGAAGGAATCAGTTCTCTTCTCCTGCCATGAGGGTCCCCATGATCAAACTCAGGTCATCAGGCTTGATGGCAAGAGTCATTATCCAGTGGGCAATCCCACCATCCTTTCTCTCATCCGTGAGCCACTAATATCATCCCATTCCTTGTTGCTGCCTAGACTCGCCCTTCTCTGGTCCCTCTCCGGTGTGCTTGCTCCCATCTCCCTAGACCTGCATGGCACAAGAAATAATACACAGCTCTCTTTCACCGCCACCAACATGGCCAGCTTGCCTCACCCTTTCAGGGGTCACCGTTTGCCTTCCCTTAAAAACTTTGCCCAGTGTCCTTTTCTTGTGTCTGCTTCTGTCATTGTGCCTGACTTCACTCCATTGGACTGTGTCACTTACCTGCCTTCTTAGCTCAAGGGCTAGCTTGGTCTTATCTTGCTCCTATAAATCCCATAGGATAGGAATTGCCAACATCCTCACACACACACGTGTGTGTGTGTGTGTGCTTGTGTGTGTGTATGTGTGTGACAGAGAGAGAGCATGTGTGTGAGAACACATGTGTATTGGTGAAGATTGAATCCAGGACTGCCAGCCAAGTGCTCCACTCCTAAGCTAACCCCCCCCAGCCCTGTTATCCCTTCGTAAATGAGGAGGAGACTGAGGTGTGACGAAGAGAAACAACCAGAGTGAGATGCCATGTCAATAAATAATATAAACAGGATTTAAACCCAGGCAAGCTGACCCCAAAACCCACAGCCTGGAACCTCCAGAAGAGATCAGACAGTTAGAAAGAATGAAAGTGGGGATGAGTTGGTTCATTAAAAAGAAGAAGATGGCCGAGGGGGAGAAATTAAGGAGTTGCTTGGATGGGAAGGTAGGAGACAGGGGCAAGGAATTAGAGAGTTAAGAAAATTCAAGAAGAAAAGGAGGGAGGAGAAAGAGAAGAAGGCCTTGGAAAAGAGGGAAAGGTAGTTAGGAAGCAGTCTAGCCTGGGAAGTCAGCTGGAATACAGAAAGCTGTGAGCAAGGCAGATACTCTGCACACAGGGGAGCCCCTCACCTCAAAACCCTGGGTCCCAGCGCAGGTCCTGGAGAACGGTGCTTTCTCGTCTCCCCAATCCTGACTCATCCAGCAACCTTCCGAAGCAGGAGTGATCTGTCACCAGCTCGCCTGTTTCTCAAACCAGCGCAAGTTCAGCCTCCCAGGCCAGCCAGAGGGGAGTCGGCTTCAGCACCGTCCGGTTACTAATTAACTGCTGGACTGAATCACTATGGTTGCTGCACCACTGGCTTCTGGACAGCTGTGCCCTGGGGACCCTCTGGACTGTTAAAAACCTACTGCCAACTTAAGCTGTGTGACCTTGGGCTCCCAGAGCCTCGTGAGAATTCCTGAGCCTGGTGAAGGCTCTTTCAGGTCCCTTCTGACACTGCCACCCTTTCATCCTCAAATCAGCCCCTCCCACAGTCCAGCTCCAAGTTAGGCTTCTCCACTGAGCCCTCCCACTCGCTGTCACCTAAAGCGCCTTCCCCTTCTCCCAGAACTTGGAGAATGGACAATAAAAAGACCGACTTCACCCACCTGTCTCCCACCATTTCCTTGATGAGGGTGCCTGCCTCTGCATCCAGCCCTGCCTTGATGACTTCCAGCAATGGGCAGCTCATTCCTGCTGTGTCCAGCGATGCACAGAGATCTGCCTGCCTCTGCCTCCTGAGTGCTGAGATTAAAGGCGTGCACCACCACATCCAGCTAGTCACAATGTTTTTCACAGCAATAGAAATCTTAATTAAGACAAATGGCTTGAAAATTTGCCTCTGTGTGTAGAATATACACATATGGTTATTATACATAGAGAGAACATACATATGTCACATATTGCTTTATGATGGATATCAGATCTTAGATGTCTTATTAGGTGATCTCATATGAGGGTCATACAGAGTCCTTCCATAAACTAAGAAAGACATGGAGCTACTAGACTTAATTACAGAATAATTATCCTAATTGTGGTAGATTATTGACTACATATTTACTATCTTTACTGAGAATTATGTATTTTCATACACAGTTCTAATAGAAACATTTTATTCTCCTAATATGTCAGTCTGAGTTTCTTTAGCTCTTTCCCGCTTTTCTGGACCTGCTCATTCTCCTCTTCTTTACAGACAGTGTCTGCTGTCACCGTGGCCTTTCCTTTCCCATCACTTTGGAAATTCTCCAGGAGTCTCTCTTGTTTAATGACCTGCTCAATGGATCTTATGAATTCCCCTCACAATATTTTATTATGAACTAGAGAGATGGCTCAGTGGGTAAAGTCATGGTCAGAAAAGTCTGACAAGTTTGGTCCCCCAAATCCACTAAAGTTGGACAAAGTAGCTCAAGCATCTGTCACCACACTGAGTCCCTACTGGGACAGAGGAAGTGGACACCGGATAATCACCAGAAGCCCCCAGGCCAGCCAGCTTAGTGTATGCAGTGGTGAACAAGAGGTATCCTGCCTCAAACAGGGTGGAAGGTGAGGATCGACACCCAGGGTTGTCCTCTGACCTTCAAACATGCACTGAAAGGGATGCATGCATACCCACGCTCACATACCCAAATTGTTTTATTGTGGTATGTATGTATGTGTGTGTGTATGCATACATATCTATACACACATATATATATGGTGGTATTTACCATTTTAACCTCTTTAATGTGCAGTTCAGTGGCATTAAGAGTTGCTGACTTTTAAAAGACATTCCCTCTGGGCTTTGCTTTGGGATAATTAGTGCAACAGTGGGAAGCTGACACATTTTGGGTTGCTCATTGCAGATGTATAAAAATGCAACTGATCTTGCGATTAATCTTCTATCTTGCATCTCTGATGAACTAGCTTAATAGTTCTGGCAGCTTAACTGGTTCTCATTGACTTGGGACTTCTCTAGAAATAAGATCACTTTTTTTTTTTAATGTAATTCTACTTCTTTTCAAACTTGGGTTCTTTTCTTTTTCTTTTTTTCTTATCTAGTTTCTCTGCTGAAAAATCCAATAAAGGCAGAACGGTAGCAACAAAAACAGGAGTCTCTTCGTCTTCTTCTTGACCCTTGACACAAAGGTTCGGCTTTCCACCACCGAGTTCGGTACTCATTGTGGACTTTGTGCGGATGCCCTTTGCCATATTATGTAAGATTTCTTCTGTTATTCTCACGTCGAAGCTTGTCAAAGGCCTTTGTGTGTCATTTGAGATTATCATGTTCCCTCTGTGTTTTATAATGTACTGTCACCTAGGTTTTCTTTTTTTCTTTTTGATTTTTTGAGATAGGGTTTCTCTGGGTAGCCCGGGTCGTCCTGGAACTTGCTCTGTAGAACAGGCTGGTTTCAAACTCAGAGATCCATTTGCCTCTCAAGTCCTGGGATTAAAGGCGCGCATCATCATACCTAGTAAACCTAGATTTTCTTAATTGAACCGTCTTTGATTTCTGGGATCTTCCTCTATAAAATCTTATTTTCTCTGTCCTTTTTTTTTTGGCCGGGGGAGAGGGGAGGGCAGCATTTAAGATAGGGTATCATCAGGTAACTCTGGCAAGTCTGGAACTTTTTATACAGACCAGGCTAGCGCTGAACTCACAGAGATTGCTCTGATTTTAGGCATGTGTCACCTTGGCCGGCTACTTTTGGAGTCTGATGGAGTGCATCATTCATGGGCAGGTGCACAGGAGGTGGACGGCTGAAGAGCTGGATGCTCGTGAATATTCATGCTGGTAAATATTCTGCCTTCGTGACTGATTGACAGCCTCACTGGGTACACATGTCTCTTTTCTTTGACCATTTTTATCTTCCCTTTTTCTCTCTCCTTGCAGGTAATTGGTTCTGGGGTTTACTGCATGGTAGATTTGTTCTCTCTTTTTCTTTAAAATTGCTCTCAGCAATTGCCACAGAGAAATCCAGTGCCATTATCATTCATGTTCCCTGGTTTTGCTCTCACTGAAAGCTTTTCTTCCTATCTTCTTCCTATTCTCATTACTCTGATATTTTACAGTGTTGCAGTTTGGTATTATTCCTTTGTCCTGGCACTCAGTGTGACCGCTCAATTTGGAGACTAACTTATCTCAACTCTGTGTTTTTTTTTTTAAATTTTTTTTTATGTGTGTGGATGTTTTGCTTGCCTGTATGTCTGTATCACATGCATATCTGGTACCCCAGGAGGGCAGAAGAGGGCGTTGGATCCTCTGGAACTAGAGTTACAGACACTTGTGTCCAGGAACATGGATCATCTGGGTCTTAGCCACTAAGCCATCTCTCCAGTCCTTAGTTTATTTTTTATAATTAATTCAATGTTTAACTAGTCTGCTGATTTTCAAATATTTTTTTTTATTCTCCTCTCATTGTCTTGTCTGTTTGGAAACAGGTTGGCCTTGTCTTTGTGCAATCCTCCTGCCTCTGCCTCCTGAGCCTTAGCATTGCAGGATTACAGGATGGCAGCCACCGTGCCCCCCTCCCTGTGTTCTACTTTCCAGAAGGTGTCCTCACCTTTAACTTTTGAACTTCATATTAAAATTTTATTTCTGCAATCACATTTTAAAGTTCCAAAGCCTTTCCTTGTGCGTCAGCGTCTCCTTTATTGCAGTGAGCAGGTCAAGGATTAGCTTCCAGGAAGAAGAGTCACCTTTTCCACTGTGGCAGGAAAGGAAGAGGACGGACGTGGGTGAAAGACACTGTGTAGATGAGGAGGCACGGAGGTGCAAGCTTTGCTTCCTGGGACACAGCTGGTGAGGCCACAGAGGAAATGACGGCAGAGGAAATGGTATAGGGGGGTTGAGGAACAAGTGAAAAAAAGCTGGAGCCAAGCTCTGTAAAACCCAACTGCTCCTTAGATAGCCATGGGAGTTCAATTCACAGAAGCCTGAGGCCATCAGTCTACCTAGACACCAGTCTGTGCAGTCTGCTGAGTTCCTGCAGCAGAGGAGAAAGCTGCACTCCTGGGCAGCTCCATGGTTGGTATTTCCCTGGTCAAACAGATTGGAAGGGCAGGGGGGCAAAGGTGGTAAAGATTTTGATGAGACAGCCACAGTGAAAACATGGCATTCCTAGCATGTTCCCACCTGCTTGCACACTCGTTACTGTAGAGTCGAACCCTCCAGGCTGACATTTCTGCACGAGAGCTTCATGCTAATTTTAAAACTGGAGGATCCATTGAATTCTCTGGCCTGGACCATCTATATAAAATTTCAAGTTATCAGACCCCAGGAGTTCTTATTGTTCATATTTTTAATTTAAAAAATGTGTGTGTTTATGTGACTATGGATGGACGTACATATCTGGGGTGAGTGCACTGCACACGTGGTCAGAGAGAAAAAAACCCATGTTAGTCATAGGCCTCATCAAGTAGACTAGTCTAGCTGGCCAGTAAGCTTCCAGGAATTTGAACTTAGAACTTCAGCTTGCTAGGCAGGCATTTTATTGACTGAGTCATCTTCACAGTCCTGTTGTTTATACTTTTCTTTAAGTGGAGGTTTATTTATTCAGCAGATATTTACTGAACACACACTTCTATGTGCCCAGCAGTGATTATATGAGTTTTCCTTGTATGTATATCTGTGCAGCATGTGTGTGCCTGGTGCCTGAAGGGCCATAAAAGGGCATCAGACTCCCTAGAACTGGAGCTACAGTTGTGAGCTGCCATGTGGGTGCTGGGTCTTCTGTGAGAGGAAGTGCTCTTACCCACAGAGCTATCTCTCCAGCCCTGGCTGGTTATACTTGTAAGAGCAGGTGTATTGCCATTAAACGGTTACCATCTTCTCTTTTTTTCTTCTTTGTTTTTTGTTTCTCAAGGCAGGGTTTCTCTTTCTCTGTGCAACAACTCTGGCTGTTCTGGAATTCATTTTGTAGACTAGGCTGGCCTTGAACTCAGAGATCCATCTGCCTCTGCCACCTGAGTGGGGTGGGAGAATTGTCTGTATTCTGCCAATCATGTTTTAAATAAACGCTGATTGGCCAGGAAGGAAGTAAAGGAGGGTCAACCAGACGGGAAGTAGAGGCAGGGCGATGAGAACAGGAGTATTCTGGGAAGAAGGAAGCTCTTCCCCCAGTCCTGCCCAGACCACGGAAGAAGCAAGGTGTAATCTGCCTGGCTGAGAAAGGTACTGAGCCATGTGGCTAACATAGATAAGAATAATGGGTTAATATAAGCTACAAGAGCTAATAAGAAGACTGAGATAATGGGCCAATCAGTTTTACAACTTATGGAGATCTCTGTGTGATTTTCTTTGGGGCTTGCCGGCTGTGGGGTATCGGGCGGGACAGAAATCCCAACAAGCTGGCCCTCATGTTACACACCTGAGTGATGGGATCAAAGGCTTGCAACACCACTGAATGTCTCTTTTTTTCTTAACAATAGCATCTCATGTATCTCAGGCTAGTCTCAAACTCACCATGTAGCAAAATGGCCTTCAGCTTCTCATCTTCCTGTCCCCATCTCCCCAGTGCTGGAATTGGAGGGGTACACCCACAGACCTGGTTCATGTGGTGTTGGGGAACAATCTTGAGCTTCCCGTGTGCTAGACAAGCACTCTACTACACAGCCCTATCTTCAGCTGACACCAAATCCCGCAGCTCCGTATCTGGGATCCTGAGCTCTTGGTGGAATCATCTGGGCTCATATTATGGCCTTCAGCACCCCTGCCTCTCCAGCTCTGCTGCCTGCAATACAGATAGGCTCTCTCTTAGCCTAGGGCTACTTTATACCTGCAATACAGATAGGCTCTCTCTTAGCCTAGGGCTACTTTATACCTGCAGCTGTCCTTAGTGGGCACACTGTAGCGCTGGCATCTCGGAAATCAAGGTGTCTTCACTGCAATTTGGGGTCCACCCTTATAGATTCATATAACAGCGATCAGGGCCTCCTTTCAAAAATATCCGGCCCAACGGCATGGTGCCCAGCTCTCTGGAACCCCGGGACAAGCTTTCGTGGCCCCGTCACTCTCCCTTCTCTTATGCTTGCGAGACCAGTGCCATGTGGATGATCCTGCCAAGTTCCCGTCAGCCTGAGATACAGTCTGACCCACTTTTGCCACAGCCTCTGTTTACCTTGGTGGTTGAATATGAGACATTTTCCGAGGCAAGTGTTCCTAAGCAGGGAATCCCTTCCACCGTGTTCTCAATTTGGCTTTCTCCTTTGAATGCATTTTTTAAAAAAAATTTTATAAGCTGGATCTTTTACATTTAAATTCAGATTTTCTAAGAAAGTGGTTCTTAACCTTCCTAAGGCTGTGACCCTTTAATACAATTCCTAATACTGGGGTAACCTTCAATCATAAAATTATTTTCATTGCTACTTCATTACTATAATTTTGCTACCATTATGAATCATAATGTAAACATCTGTGTTTTCCAGTGGTCTTAGGCAACCCCTGTGAAATAGTCAACCTAAAGGGGTTGCAACTCCACAGGTTGAGACACTAGGACCTCTACCTAGCAGCAGAGGGAAGGAATTGATTTCCTCAGACATGGCAGCACTGGTGTTCACCTGTGTATTCTAGGCATTTCACCACAAAAAGAGAAATAGACTCTGGCTGCAGACTGTTCAATGATGTGAATTTATTTATGTTGTTACAATACACAGACAAATCATAATGTATTTTCTTTGAAATGTTTCCTCTCTCAAGAGTCACTTTAGTTTAAACCAGAGGATTTTCTTTGAGAATGCACACACACACACACACACACACACACACACCAAGAACAAACATGTAACTCCATCATTAGCACGTGTGAATAAGGGTGGAAACAGGCTTCATTTTCAAACCCTGGGGCCATTCTCTCTGTCTTAGAAATTAAACAGAAAGTTCATCCCTGTCCTAGGCCAGGGCTGGGCAGAGGCTGGAGAAGCCTGTTGGGGACAAAGTGTAAGCGGCTGTGTTGCTAGAGGCCAGGGCACAGGGTGTCAGAAATAGCCACCCACTCCCTCTTCTCCTGTGCTCCCAGGTCAAGGTGCAATGGTCTCATCTGGGGACACAGTGGGTGGTGGAATGCTCAGAAGGCAGATTTCTTTTGACTTTTTTTACGATTTGATTTCTTTCCACAGTGTCTGATATTAATGCAGTATAGCTGAGGTCTCAGGGTTGGGAGGCCTGCGAGCCCTCTTCTCCAAGGCCTTTGGTCCATCTGGCCTTTCCCACAGGTAGCTGTTACTGGCAGAGCTGCATGGCAAAGGCTGTTGTCCCTCCCCTTGGGAGCTGTGTGGTCTTACGGCACCAGTCAAGAACACAGAACATTTGCTGCCTTCTCAGAACAGTCAGTGTGTGACTGGGCAGACTAAAGACAAGAAGACGACAGGTTCCACAGCAACACAGACGGTTGAGACAGCAGGGATTGACTCCTCTTTACTCCCAGCAAAGAGGCAATGATGTCACATCTGTCAACCTAACCCTCCCTCCTTCCCCCTTGGCCGGTCTGGCGCAGTGTTCTCCCAGAAAAGTTGTGCTCAGTCACCCTTGAGGGCTGAAAGGAAAAGGCAATCCGAGGCTCTGTTGAGGCTACCTGGGTGTTAAATGGCTCTCCCCCTAGAAGGCCTACGGAGGGGAGGTCTCCAAAGGGCTAAACCAGGAAATCAACAGACCCTTTGTTTTCTCATTTCTGATGAAATAATAAGGCTCCATAGCTTTAAAATAGCCCTTAATATTCCCAACACCGCACCTAACACCTATACCTGACAGAAACTGTTGAGTGACCAACATGTATGTGTACACACACACACATACACACACACACATGACTTACAAGTGTACTGCACTGGGGGATGACCCTGCTCTTCAGCCTGCAGGACCACCTCGGCACCAGATGAAGCTTGGTACTGGCTTCTACCTATGGGTAGGGTGACTCCTGCTGGGCTCTGGTGCTCCCCACATAGGCGGGGAGGCGAGTTTGGCAGTAATTGAGTGGAGACTGAATTTCCACTTGGACAGAAAGGTCCAAGTCCCCGAGTCCCAGCAGGGACCCAGCTGGCAGTGAGAGGCAGTTAGAGAGTGGCAAGAAGGGCGCAAGTGATCAGAGAGTTCAAAGACTGGAGAGGGAAACCTTTCCAACTCTCTACTGTAAGTGGCCTTTGTTAGACTCAAGAGCAAAATGAGAAATGTTTAAGGGACAGAGTGAATGTGATGTCACAGGGGTTGTGTGCTAGACAGTGCTGCACTCTCTGGCCAGGAGGCTGGACTGGCAGGGGCCTCTCTCTCTTGTGTAATGTCTTGGCTGAGATCCACAGACACAGACAAGATGTTGCTGCCACCTTGCTGTCTAGAGATACCCTTCAGGCCAATGACTCCAATGTGTCTGGCATCCTAGTCGGCACTGCCTACCAGCATCTTCCCCACAGTCAGCAGACTGCACCTGCTGGTGTCTAGGCAGCATCAGGGGACACGAGCCCCATTTGTTTTAACATGGGCTCCATCCATCTGTTCACTCTGCTGGAATCAAGCCCTGGAAGTGGCCACTCCAAGACTGAGTGGTCATCAACGGAACATGTCCAGGAAGGTGCCTTGGCTCTGGATCTCTGCCTAGAGGCAAAGGGGAAAGACAGCCAGGGGCTCCCAATGGGAAGCTCCCATATTTCTGAGACTTACACATCTACAGGAGAAGAGCCATGGGGTCTGGATGGACCATGATAGGTGCTGCCCAGGAACCAGGCAGCAGAGGAAGGGTATGCAGCCATCAGTAGAAAAGGAGGAGGCACCTTTTATGTATAAATATGAATGCTGAAGTTATGGTCATTTCTTAGAAGGAGGAGAGAAGCAAAGGAGAATAAAACACAGAGATTCCAAAAAAGGACACAGGTCTGAGTAGAGGATGCCTACTGGACCCAGCTCCTCCTAATTCCTAAGACAATAACCAAGGTGACTGAAGATGCAGGCTGCCCCAGCCAGGATACCTGCATTCCTTTCTATCAGTCAGGCCTCAGTTAGTCACGCCATCACTGGAGCAACCTGGAGACAAATGGACTCCAGGACCGAGGGCCAAGACTCCCTTGTCCGGGCTCGTCTGCTCCCAAACACCCTCTGGGAAGGGCCAGCCCTAGTCAGACCGTGAGGACAGGGGTGCAGGAAAGGAGCACCGACTGAGGAGAGAGCCTGGCAAGGGCGGGAGGAGGTCCCACCTGGCCAGTCACTTAAAGGTGTCATCAGTGTTTTTGAACATGAGAATGGCGTTATAGATCTTCAAGGCTGGGCCCAGCTTGACACTCATGATCTTCACAATGTCCGCCTGTGTCAGCAAAAGGAAGGCCTCGCCGTCAATCATCTGAGGGGGCGGGAGAGGGAGGAGGAAGTTGGAAGAGGAGGAAGGGGGGGCAGGTGGGAGGAAGGGAGGGGCAGAATATGAGGTGGGTATGGGGAGGGGAGAAGGGGCATGTGGCAGGTGGGAAAGGAAGAGGGGGTAAAGAGGAAGGACAAGGGAGGGAAAAAGAAGAAAAGGAAGACGGCAATGGGGATGGAGAAGGAAAGCAGCACAGCCCGGTTCCCGCCATACACATAGAGCTTCTCTTTCTGCTAACAGGTCTGTGACACGTCTACACAGCGTCTATACTGGAAAACCCTCCCTGGAGCCCTTACAGACAGTAGCTTCGAGAAACCAGCCACTATACAGATGTGGGACGTCGTACTTAACGCAAATGTGAAGCTCCTTGTTTGAAAGTCATTAAGAATTTCAGAATAGTGACAGCAGAGCACAGAGCCAAATGCCAGGTTCGTCTAAGCACAGGGCGCAGGGAGGCTGCCCAGGAGGCCAGGCAGGCTTGTGGTCTAAGTAGTTTCATTCATTCATCGTCCTTCAAAAATGCTACCTGGGCTCCTTCTGTAACCGGGGTAACAGCCTCCATATCTACACATGTGATCTAGCATTTGTGAAGTGCCCACAGCCAAAACAAAACAAAGACAAGAGAAGGCCCATCACAGTGCCATGGGAGCCCACTGGTCAGTCTCAGTGCCACTGGCGGCGAGCTGAGCAGATGCTGCATTCTGAGGGCTGCGTCACGGGCTGCACTGTTACCTCGACCTTTTCCCGCCCCCAAATCAGAGAGACAGAGAACACTTGGACCTAAAGAAGCTTTTGGATCTGATTCCTAGTTTAAAATTTTTCCTATTACAATCATTTGTTTTGTGTATATATGGGTGTGGGTGCAAATGTGGATGTGCACATGTCCCAACATGCATGTGGGGGCCAGAGGACAATTTTTGGGAGTCAGCTCTCTCCTTCCATCATGTGACTCCTGAGGATCAAACTCAGGTCTTTAGGCTTAGTGTCAAGCACCTCCATCTGCTTAGCTAACTTGCTAGTCCTCACTTGTAGACTTTTAAAAATGTCATGAGAAAAAAATAAAACTAAAAAAAGAAGAAAAAAAGGTTACCTTCCTAGAATGGAAGATATTTCAGGGCTATATAAAACCTGAAACAATTGTTAGCTCAAGAACTATTATTTAAAACGTTCTGAGGTAACAGGAAATGCGGATATGGGCAGGGTGTGGATGGCCTGAGGAGCAACCACCGATTGTGGTGCAATAACAACACTGTATAATGTCACGAGTCACAGCCCTCGGGTGACTCATGATGGTGCCTGTAATTTAACAACCTCATGCCAGGGCAGACAAAGCAAGTGTGTGGAAGGCTGATGAGCGCACATTCTAGTCAGGGCGGAGAAAAGTCAGTTGTGAGGAGGGAGGGAGGGAGGGAGATGAAGAGAATAGAGGAAGGAGGTTGTATGGGACTCAGGAGGGGAAGCCATCTAAATGTCCATGAACAGGAGGCCTGCAGCCTGTTCATTAGATGGAGAGAAACTGAGAGTGTATTCAGCACTACACAATAGGTCCCCCCAACACTACAGGGAACGAAGAGAGAGACCCACAGCGCCACTGCTGTCTGATTCCACTGCATAATTTAAGAATAGGCAAACCCAGCCTATAGTGCTATAATCCACAGTGCTAAAAAAGGTTCAAAGATCCACAGTGCTTATGTTTTGGGGTGGGGACTGACCAGCAGGGGCTGAGGCAGAACTTTCTGGTGTGATGGGAATGGTCTCTCTTGATGGAGGTGGATTCAAGTACACAATTCATAAAACCTGTGGTGTTGGGTGCTCACCTCAGTCAGTTCATCTGGGCATGGTAGGGTGAAGGGCATAGCTACTGAACAGTGGCTAAGAACAGCCTTGGCTTGCAGGAAGCTCTGGGCTCAATCCTCAGCACCAAAACCAAAACAAAGCCAAACCAAACCAAACCAAATCAAACCCCAAACAAATGAAAGTGAAACCAACAAGCCACCCATGGAGCAAGGCATTTGCTCCACGTTGGTCAGAAGGTTCTAGAAACAGGAGTCCAGCTAGACACTCAGACAAGCACAAATAAGATCAGCAACACAGGGGGCAAGACCAGCATCCAGACGGGAAGAGGCAGACCGTGCTGGGTCTACAGACATCCATCTTTCTTAATGGGCACAGATTTAGGCACCTGAGCCCACAGTGTGCTGGGGCAAGGGACTGCTTCTGTTGATTTGGAAGGAAGACTCAAACACACTTGAGGGCTCCTCCTACTGTCAAACTCTACAGATTAAGAGAGTCATGAAGAAAGTTCTTTATTTAGGGGCAACTGTGCACACAAAGTCAGATTACCATTTCTAGAGGTCTCACCCGCATTGGGCTTTTGGTATAGTGGTGGGATTTCTATATGATTCTATAATGTTGCTAGGTAGACGTACACACATGTCAATGATATGAGTATGTAGCTATACTGCAGTGAAGACTCACTCCTGGTTTCTAAAGTTCACAGTGACCTGCCAGGCAGCCCTCGGTGCACTTGCTCTGCCTCCATCTTAAAAGCGGGAGGATGTGGGCTCAGAGACAAGCGGTTCAAATGGGGAGAGCTAGGATTCCGGCTCAGGCTGCCTTCAACCTGACATTCGTTTTCCCATAACCCACTGCTTCCTATCTTCCCTAAGCTCTTGGGCATTAACTTTCATGTGTTGGGATCTCTGCAAAAAATATCTACACCTACGCCACCCAATATCTGCTTTGGGGTTCAGTGGTATGCAGGGGTGCAGCTCAGTAGTGGAGTATCTGCTTGGCCTGGCTGAAGCTGTGTTTGCTCCCCAGCACCCCAAACTGTGAAACGCTTCAATTCAAACGGCCCCGGGGAGGACAGCATAAGAGCAAATGGATTCCTTCTTCAGGACACATCTTTCTTTCCAAAGGGGATCTGAACACAGTGTCTCCAAGCCGGGCCACAGTCCCTACACGATTTCTCAGACATGGGCGACTATGATCGGTCTTGCCTTGCAGGACATCAGAGGTCCCTCTCGGGCTCGGGTAATGCTGGTGAGGGTAATGGATTTCCGCCATCTCAATGGCAGGAACTTTGTCTCTGTCCCTCTGAACTTGTACCTTACCTCATCTTTGAAGAGGCGTGCTTGGTCCTCAGAGCCCGTCAAGGTCAGAACGAAGCCAAAGACCTTGGAAATCAAAGAAGACGCGTTAACCAGGGGATGGGATCCAGGGGAGGGTAAGTCTACATGGTCTTGGGGCCCCTTAGACTACGCCAGCAGTTTCTTTCTTATTAGCCTTAGGAAGTCCTCTTGTCTTTGTATGGTGGTACATGAGGGAAGGTCTCTTGTTCCTTAAAGTATGTCTGTCCTGCTAGAGTCCCAGCTTGAGTGACAGGACCCACCCTCTCTATCCACCTTAAGAGGCCTGATTTGGTCAGCCTTGCTGTGCAGCTAAAGGGGCTGTGCATAGGAAGGATGAGCCCAAGGTGGAGGCTGTGGGGCGTGGCATGAGGCTCCATCTGAGCCAGCCCTAGCCTGAGCCCCCTCCTAGGGTGTGGTTTAGCGAGCAGGAAGAAGAGGGGAAGAGGCTAAGGAAAGACTCCATACCTCTTCAATGGTCCACTTGGAGACCGTGGAGGCTGAGATACCTGCCACTCCTGGCAGGAGCTTGCAGTGCTGCTCCCAGCACAGAGAGAATGAGCGATCGGGGTGGGTGGCCAAGGTGGACATGAAGAGGGACTGGTGCACCACACTGGGAGGAAGGGCTAGAAGGCAGAAGCAGAGAGCAGTGGGCTAGCACTAGGGAGAGCTCACACTTATGACACAGGGGACACTGGCTGGCACAACAGACAGGGTGAGGACCCCTTCTGAAAGCCTACAGAACCACGTGGGTGAGCTGGTATGCTGCTGGCCAGATGGGTTGCTTGCTCCCAGACTTCGGCACCCACTGTCTGGAGTAACTCCAGCACTTTGGGCCTTGTGAGGGTTCTCTCTTGGAGCTAGGGGCATCAAACAACCCTTACATTCAAACAAGTTCATCTCTGACATCAGTAATGAGTTCTGTGTCCTTTGTGAAGCCCTTTTGGATTCTGAGCAGGGTCATTCTGGCCCCAGAGAATGAGTTCTTACCAGCTGTCCAGCCACAGGCTGCCATCACCTGCTTCCCCATCCACTCAGGAATTCCTGGCTCAATGGGTCAGGTGACCGATGCTACTGTTTGGCTTCCTCTTTAGCAGGTCTGGCACTCACCTGACTTTACTCAGTTCAACTGCTGACAACCTGACCCCTTCCTCTGCACTAGGCCCAGGGGCTTCAGGCAGCTTGGCCACTCTCCTGGAGGCCTACTGTGCCCTGGTCCACAGTTCTGGCTAATTGCTCTTTTGTAGTGCTTGCTGATAACTCTGGATGCAGGATGCAGTACTTCCGGTGCCGTCTTCTCTACGGCAGCCTCTGCCCGGTACAGACTATTCTGCCCCATCTCACTCCCTAGGCCTGAGCCTCGTGGCTTCTTCAGCTCCTCATAGTCCCATCCTGAGCCTTTGGGATCCTACCACAGGCCCACTGTCACTCTCCTGCAGCCTCTGCATCTCAGTCCACAGTTCCAGCTGTGACCCAGTGACTGTGCCTCCCCTGCCTGATCGTGTTTTAGGACCATAGGTAAATACGGTACCCTGGGTCCTATCTTACTCCCCAGACAGAGCCTGCCTCTAGTGAGCAGCTGCAGCACTGCATTTAACCACCTAGCCACACAGCTAGAAGGTTCTTCCAAAGAGGTGACTCCTGTGGGACCTGGCAATGAGCACAACAAAGGACCAGGTCATGTTCCCTGAAGGGACGGGCACATGTGCATCTGGACCCTGCATCGAGGTCTACCATAGATGTGTGAGCAGTCTCCTCTAGAAGGGGTAGCTGTGGCCAGTGTCCCTTCCTGGTTAAAGATCTGCTGGTACAGCAGACAGCCATCTGTGGAGATGAGTCCCTGAGATGCCTTAGGGGCCAGGGTGAGGCCTGAGTCGCTCCCTTTTCCTTTGGCCATAGCTGTAACCACTGGAAAGTCTGACTTCTGGGCTGGAGAGAGGGCTTAGCAGGTAAAGGTGCGTAAGGTATAGGCTGTGTAGGCCTGAGAACTTGAACTAGATTCCCCAAGCCCATAGAAAGGTGGAGAGAACAGACAGGACGAAGTTGTCCTCTGACCTCCACGTGCACACCATTGGCATCACTCAGTCCCCCAACTCCCCAAACCCTCCACATTCAGTCAGGAGGTGCCCTCTGGTGGTTAGAATGTAGTCCTGCACACGGGAGCTGACCAAAGTACCATGGCAGGCAGGAGAGAGGCCTACTATAGCCTGACCCTGGCTGGGATAGCTTCCTAGGAGGACCCAGACGTCAGCCAAGATGCTTGGCATTCAGACCTGAGGCTACAAAAACTATCTTCTGTTTCCATCAGGAGGAAACAGTAAAGAGAGAAGCCGGGGTGGGGGAGTCTTCCAGGCACGAGCTTCCGATTGGTGTGCAGTTAGCTGTGCTAAACACACCGTGCTGTGAGCTCTTATTATTCTCAGCATCTGACTGAGGATGCCAGGCTCAGGCAATCTGGTGTGAGACACCAGGGATGCTACACAAGACAGAGCAGCAAGGGTGCAAGCAACCAGTGGTCTGTGCACTGGGAGAAAGGTCCGAGAAGAAAGCAATCCAGACACCCGCAGCTCCAGAACTGTGAGGTGAGTAAGTGCCTGCTCTTCAGGCCACCCAGTAGTCTGTGGTATGTTGTTACATAAATCCACGCAAATGAACCCAAGGGGAACGGGCACTGACATGACATTAGGGCACAGGGCTTTAAGCCTAATGCCATGTGGCAGATATCAGGTCCAAGTTTGAATTCCAGCTCAGCCCCTCAGAAGGTGAATGACCCGGGGCAAATGATTTTGCCTCTGAACCTCCCATTCCTCCCTAGTTAGACAGTGTAGGAGGCTGGAGAGCAGGAGAATGCAGTTACAAAGTGTTCATCACAGGGCCTGGCTCAGTGAATGGTAATAGTAGCCACCATGGCCAGTTCAGCCAGTGACTCCCAATGCTCTCAAGTGAGGAAAGTGGTTTGCTCAAAGTCATACGACTGATAGCTATGGTCTCCTGAGGAAGCATAGAATAAGGAAAAGAGCAAGGCCATAGCTCCACCTTGTGGAAACCAAGCCCCCCTCCCCCTCCACAGACTTCTAGAAAGCCTGCAGGACCAGAAGCCTTGGCCACTCAAGGCCTCATCCTATGCTCTTGCCCCTGCGCTATGCACCCAAACTCCTCAAAGCAGTGGCCTCCTTTCCAGCGGCTCTCATTCCGCTGCCCTGGTATCTGGTTCCATCAATCACAGGCCCCCTGCTCAGCATCCTCTGTCAACTGGACTCACTCACCTTGGAAATCTTCTTGCGGACTCTTGCGATACTTTGGAGGACGTCCAATCCTGGAGAGAGAGGGACCGGGGCCGCAGCAGAGGATCAGTAGCTGGCCCAAGAGGACACGAGGCCCCACACCCGTGAAGCCCAGGACCTGACTCCCTGGCCTTCGCACCGGCCATGTTGGCGGGGCTTCTTCCTTGGGGACAAATTAGACAGGTTCTTCTTCCTGGCTGCCGTTTCCGAGTCGGACAGCTCTGCTTTCAGCCGACTCTGGTTCCTCTCGGCCAGTGGGCAGCCAGAGAGGCAGTGGTGAGCCGTGAACTTGCCTGTAACGTGGCCAGAGCCATCACAGCCAGGAGTGGGGCACTTCCTGGGGAGATGAAGGCTTTAGTTGGGTGGACCCATTTGTCTCTACCGAGCTGCCCCCTGTAACCTTGGCCCTGGGTCCTGGGGAAGGCTGATGGGTCTCGTTCCACAGCTGTAAAGGGCTCTTCCCTGAAGGATACCTGCTTCACTCTGGGCCTCAGCTGTTACTTTACTTACCGCTGGTGAAAGCTGTATTTGGAGGGCTTTGTGTGGGGCGGGCTCCTGTGGCTGAGCGTGGGGCAGCTCCCAGGCGAGGCAGAACTGGATTCTCTGGGCCCTACAGGGGTAAAAGAGAAGTCAGCACGGAGTCCTGGAGACAGAAGAAAGAGACAAAGAAGGGATAGTTTCCATGTGGTGGGGGGAGGGATCAGGACCCAGAACTAGTTCCTTAGAGACCAGGCCCTGAGCCAAGCTGTGCCCATTCCTGCCATTGGGTATCAGCTATCATTGGGGAAGGAAGGTTTGACTTTTTTATACTTTGCTGGGACCTGTGGGCATGTCTTGGTTTAGTGAGACAGGAAGTCCTAAGGGAAGGGGGCTAGGCATCCCAGGTTCACTGCAGGCACTGGAGCCCTGGGAGGGCTGTCAGAGGTCGGTGGAAAGGGAAAGTTAGCAGCGGGTCCTGGGAGTACACACGGAGAGGGGGCTCCAGGGGATGTCCTGTCTTGGAGCACCAGCCTGCAGGGTGGATGTCCGGGTGGTCGGCGTCGATCCAGAAGTCATAGTTGTGACTCCAGCCATCAAAGTGGAGCTGGGAAAGAAAGGCCCTTGGGGGTCAAGTGTTGTTCTTGGAGCCCAACTCAGCCAGGAGGTCCTCTGGGCTCCGAGATGCTCTCTATGCTTAGGCCAAGATCCTGGAGATGAATACAGGGGCCATCTACATAGTAACTGTTCTCAGCCATGTGTTTTCATCTCCATTAAATCCCTGTGTAGGGCAAGGGTTATTAGACCCATTTTACAGATGATAAGATTAAGGCTTGTATAGAGGAAAAGGGATCCTTCCAGGCCTACAACAGTGAATCACAGATAAGGAAAGAAAGGTCTGGGGTCTTCAGTTTCCTAGTTCATGCCATGCCCTTGACCTCTAAGCATTCTAGAGAATTCCTGTCCCACTGACCTGTCCACTCCCCCAGGCCTAGGGTCCCAGAGCCACCTTTATCCGATGGTCCTCCACATCTTCCACGCTGGCTACCCGAATCAGTGCTGGGTTCCGGCGGTCCACAGCCTCCAGCTTCATGTTGACCAGGAAGCTGTGAGGGGGTCTCTGTGGGGAGACAGGTGCTTTGAGGCTAAGGTTCAGCTCTGAGGAGCTGAAGCTCCAGGAAGAGAGCCACAGGGAGGACTATCTTGGCAGAGGCCCTCCACTGGCTGACTGACAGGACCACGTCTTCCTAAGCTCAGCTCTAGGAAAGGCGAGAGTCAACTTACCACTTTGAAGGCCCAAGTGGGCACAGCTGAGGTCCCAGTTTCTTCTAGATATTTCTCCCAGCAGAAGCTATCAGGGTCTGGATAGTCTGGAAGGGAGGTGAGAGCAATAGCTGAGCCAGCCAGGTGGCTCAGGAAACTCTGTCCCCAGTTGGGATCAAGAACATGGAAGGAAGCCAGGGGTGGTGGCGCCAGCCTTTAATTACAACACATAGGAGGCAGAGGCAGCCGTATCTCTAGGAATCTGAGGCCACCGTGGTTGTGAAAGCCAGTTCCAAGTTAGCTAGGGCTACACAGGGAAACCCTGTCTCAAAAAACAACAGCAACAAAACAAACAAAAGAACATGGAAGGGGCAGAAACACCTGGAGAAGAAACTTCCCCCATGTGACTGCGACCACAATTAGATGCTTGCATATGTCTAATGTCTAATCACCAGGGCAGATGGTTCCTGGTGAGAACTAAGCCCACGGGACCACAAGAGCGCAAGGCTGTTGGAATCCCAGCTCTCATCACTTAATGACCCATTGCTCTTAGTCCTAGTCAAACCTCTGCTACACTTGGGCCAGCGGTGGTCCCAAGTGAAGGACAAACGTCCTTTGTTTTAGACCCCTGCAGGCTTGAGGGAGCCATCTACCTTTCCTTTCCTAAACCCCAAAGGTCAAGGCTCCAGGCCCAATCTGCTCCCTACTCTGTCCTAAAGGGCCTGCTAAGGAGGTGCAGGGACCGAGTCTCCCATGCTGAGAGACAAGGAGGGAGTGAGGGCCCGGCCTGGGAAGGATGCGTGCTCGGGCAGCCTCACCTTGTGGAGGGGTGAGCGGCTTTCCATGCTTCTGGCACCAGCCTACTGGGTGGATGTAGGGACTGCTGGGATCACACCTGAAACCCAAGAGTACGCCATTGTCCTAGGAGAATGGGGGAGGGCTGAGCCTGCTGTCCCCACAGCATGGTACCGGGGACTTCCTCAGCCTCCTTCTTGGTGAGAAGGACATGGGTGATTAACATTGGGTCAGAAAACTACCACATTGACTGAAAACTCTATCATACCATAAGAGCTAATAAAGATTTCTGTTGTGTGTGTGTGCACGCGTGTGCCTGTTCACACACCTCTTAATCAAGATATTTTGTGATGAAATAGGAAACACTGAGCTTTGTAAACCATGACTCAGCTCAAATCCAGGACAGCTAACTAATCCCCCCTCCCCAAATCCAGAGCAATATCTGAATAACTGGGTAGGGCCACATGGTGTCTGAGGTCCTACATGGGATGCCTCCTCCCCTGGTGCCTCTTCCCCAGCTGTTTCCAGTACCAGTAGTCATAAGTATCATCCCAGTTGTCAAAGTGCACCAGGAAGCGGCCATCTACCACATCGGTCACACTGGCCACACAGACGAGGGATGGGTTCATGCGGTCCACAGCCTCCAGCTTCATGCCCACCTGGAAGCCCACTGGGGAAGAACTCTAGGAATAAGAAGAGGGCAGTCACAGCCAGGGCCAGGGTGGCTGGAACTAGCCCAGAGCTGCTAGCCAACGTAGTAGCAGGTTCTCTGCATGGATTGCCTGGGAGTGGCAAGTGGGCACGAGGGAGAAATAGCCAGGGAATGAGGGTTGCTCTGGGCCACTCAGGGACTTCTGTCCTCCAAGTGCAATGACCGTCACAAGCTTGACTTGTGGGAGAAGGTCAGTGACTGTCAGGAGGCTATGTATTTATCTAAAAGTCCCAGCAGACTGAGGATAAGTCTCCCCTACCCGAAGGAGCCTTGCCAGGCTCACCCGAGGCAGCTGGGGCAGTAGTTGGGTGGTGGGGGAGAGAGCGCTAATGTGTTCCAATCCCTGAAGGGAGCAGGGAGTGGCCAGGGAACTAGTGTTGACTGGGTGGTTGCCGCAGAAGCTTCAAAGACAGCACTTCCTCATCTCTAAGCGCCTGTCTAAGACCGTCATTCTCCTCCTAGAAGTGACATCTGTGACCCGGGACACAGTGCCAGTTAATGGCAGGGCCAGAGGTCAAATAGTTGACTTAAAAAATCTGCATTTCCTGGCTGGACAATGGTGGTGCACACCTTTAATCCCAGCACTCAGGAGGCAGAGACAGGCAGATCTTTGTAAATTCAAGGCCAGCCTGGTCTACAGAGTGAATTCCTGGATAGCCTGGACAGGGAAACTCTGTCTTGAAACAAAGAAAAAGAAAGGGGGGGGGGAGCTGGTCTCTGACACAGACACATACATACGTGCACACACACACACACACACACACACACACACACACCAATAATATTAATAATAATAATAATTTGCCAGGTGGTGGTGGTGGTGCACACCTTTAATCCCAGCACTTGGGAGGCAGAGTCAGGCGGTCTCTGTGAGTTCAAGGCCAGTCTGGTCTACAGAGCGAGTTCCAGGATAGGCTCCAAAGCTACACAGAGAAACCCTGTCTCAAACGCCCCCCCCCAAATAAGTAATGTAAAAAAATCTTCATTTCCCATGACTAGGAGGTGGGTCCCTATTAATTGCCTGTTAACCCCAAAATATAGTCTCTGGGGCCGGACTGGAACGGGAGAGTAACTGTCCCTGTCAACAGCATGATGGAGTCCCTGACCCTTCAATGTGGTCATGGTGGCAAGGGACACTCTACTACTAAGATGCACGTCCAGCCCCCAGTATGGAAGTATTTTCAACGGGAGCTCCCTGTTTCTCAGACCCTTTGCTTGGGCTTATGCGATACTTAACTGCTCTGAGCAGATTAACACCAGGAGGTGAGCTGGTTGGGGTGTGAGCAAAGGGGAAGGCTGCCAGAACAGACTTTGACCTCATTCCAATGAGGTGCAGAGCAGACCAGAGGAAAAACATCTGAGCCGTGACGAGTTAGTGTCCAGGCTGCAGCAGTCGGCTAGGCCTCTGGGGCATGTATGGGGGAGGATTCTGCAGCTCAGAATGCTATGGTTTGTGTGTCCCCAAAGGGTCCTTTGCTAGCAGGGGACTGAAGGCCCCTGGCTAGTCATGGAGAGATTGAATCCTTACTAAAAGAATAGAACGCAGGCTGGAGAGATGGCTCGGTGATTAAGAGTGCTTGCGGCTCAATCACAAGGACTGGAGTTCAGATCCTGGCGCCCATGGCCAGCAAGTGTTTGTAACTTCTGCTCTAGGTTCTGATGCCCTCTTCTGGGCTCTGCAGCACACAGGCACTGGCATATGCACAGACAACACACACACACACACACACACACACACACACACACACACACACCTGTAAAATAAATGGTAAAAAAAAAAAAATAAAGCTTGAGCCAGGCAGAGGTGATGCACACCTTTAATCCCAGCACTTGCAAGGCAGAGGCAGATGGATCTCTGAGTTCAAGTCCAGCCTGAACTACAGAGTGAGTTCCAGAACAGTCAGTCAGGGGTAGGCAGAGAAACCTTATCTCAAAAAAAGCAGAGAGAGAGATAGAGAGACAGAGAGAGAGAGAGAGAGAGAGAGAGAGAGAAGCAAGCAAGCTTGTACTTATTTGTTTAAATCCCTCTGGCTTCCTGTGATCTCCTCCACACAAGCCTTCAGCAGTGTGAGGCCATCTGCCATGAAGCCCCCTCAGAGGCTCAACAGAAAGGGCTGTCTAGTCATGGACTTTCTGCTTCTGAAGCTACAAGATAAAATAAGGCTCTTTTCTTTCTGTATTGGTCAGGTTAAATACTTTTTGATAGCAACAAAATGGATGAGGACTGGTGAGGTGGTTTAGGGGGCAGAGGCACCTGCCATCAAGACACACTCTCTGAGTTTGAACCCCTGGGTCCACATGGTGGGAATGGAAAACCCACTCCCACAAGTTGTCCTTTGACCTCCTCCAGATGTGCTACGAGGCATGTGCAACACACACACACACACACACACACACACACACACACACACAAATAAATGTAAGAAAAAGGAATTTGAAAGAAAATGGATGAAGATGGAAGGAGGAGACGGGAATGTGTAATGAGCATCCCCCATTTTGGCTCTGACGTTTCCCCAGACATGGCTCTTGAGCCAGAAGAGAGCAGAAGAGAGAGAAAGCTGAGAGCAACCCCTGTGCTCCATGCTCCATTCTGCCGAGTCGGATTCCCCCGTGCTGGCTGCAGCGACTCTGGCCTGAGGGTGGTATTCACCTGTGCCCAGATACTCACCTGGCTCTGGCTTACAAACAGGTGCTTGGGAGCTGCCTGAGCTCGTGTACTGCGCAGGTACTGGCTCCAGCTGAACTCTTCTGCCTTGTAACCTGGGCCCCTCGGGGGGAATGAAGAGAACTCCATGCAGAGGCCGGGCCATGGTGAGGGCCCCAGGAATGAAGTAGAAACAGGCAGGTCTGAGGTCCCCCAAACCCTCAGGGCCCCTCTGCTAAAGGAAGATGGGACCTGGTGAACACTCAAAGAGTTTAGGAGCCTCAGGGTGGAGTTGTAGCACAATGGGACAGAGAAAGTGGCCAAAGTTTTGGGCTTAAAAAAAAATATGGGATGCAGGGTGACCTGAAGGGAGGTCTGGGGACTCACTGTCTTTCAGGGAGGGCTTACCCTTGGGAGGCTGCAGCTTGTGCCCAGTCTTCTCAAACCAACCAGCAGGATGAATGTCAGGGGAGTTGGCATTGATCCAGAAGTCATGGCATTCAGAATACCCATCAAAGTGCAGGCGCAGGCGGTAGCCGCACACCTGGTCGCGACAAGAGTCAGAGGCACGTCAGTGCCAGCAGATAGCACCTTCCCACTCCTCCGCCTTTCCTGGTCCAGCCTGCAGTCTCAAGGATCCAATGCTAGCAGGTGCCCTGGGTGCTGAGTGCATGGTGGGTGGACTCTGTGGCAGCCTGTTGCCCTCCTAAGCCCCAGACAGGAAGCAGAAAGTACTACAGATTGTCCTGTGCCCTTGGACTCTTTCCTCCAGCCACATTCTCTCACCGAACACTCAGTATACCCTGCTATGCTCACACCATCTCAAGCCCCAGGGACCGTTTTGCTGCATCTGCTTGGAATTTCCTGCTCAAACACAGATTGCGGCAGATAGGCCTTCCTACGCTTTCCCTGCCCACTCAGGCCAAGTGGAATATTCCTTGATCAGCAAGCCCATGACCTGTACTGCTGTGTTCATCTCATAGATTCCCTTCCTAGAGGACAGGGCCCTGTTTGATTCGAGACAACATCCCCGCCTTTTGGACCTTTCATATCTACCCCATCCCCAGCAAAGACAACTTATACTATCTAGTAATACTAGTGTCACGCTGCTCCCTGTCTGCTTCCCAGTCTTTGACTTTAGCTTTCCCTACATTCCAATGGATCCTCTTGCAATGTCTGGGCTCCCTGAGGCAAAGCAGTGCCTCTCACAATGGCTCCATCACTCTACACTGAGACACTGGGAGGGTATTTCCAACTCACCTCTGCCACGGTGAGGATGAAGTACATGGACGGGTGTTGAGGGTCAATGCCTTCCAGCTTCATGCCCAGTTTGAAGCCATTCTTGTTATGGGTGACTGCCTGGGACTGTCAACGCACAGAGTGGAGAGGACCCGGCTTCCATCCAGCCTTATCCTTGCCTCATGGGCTTGGGGTGAAGGAGCTCCCTTAGGCCCCAACTGCCTGCTGGTCTCAAAGGGGTGATTTATTGGGGATCTGTCCTGCAAGGGGTCCCCAGAGGGCGAGAGAACTGCAAGACTATTCTGCAGGGCTGGATCAGGGCTAGAGGTAAGGGTTCTCCCACCTACCTCATGGTGAGGTCAGTGTTAAACTGCAGAAAAGATACCAGAACCCACAAGACAGCAGATGAGGGGGGGAGCCTGGAGGGCACCTCCCTACTTCTTCCCACCCAGGAAGTCCCTTACAGGATACTCTTTTCAACTCTAGACATCTTCATCTTGCTAGTATGTCAAGGATCGTCCAGAAGAAAACACTAGAAGCCCTGCACTTGGTGGTGAGTCCCTGAATTGAGAAGATAAAATCTCCTTAGACTGAAATTGTCCAACTCACATCCTGGAAGAGGCTGACTGGGGCAGTGACAGCCTTCTGCTCCTCCAGGTAGGACTCCCAGGACCAGCCTTCCTTCTTCTCTTCCGACACTGCAAAGACAAAACAGGCAGGCTGGACAGTCTTCCTCGGTTTCCCCTGACTGAGCTCTACAAGCAAACCTTTGTCTGTCCACACGGACCTCTTGCCACACTCAGCTATGCCAGTGAGAGGCACAGGGGCCTCAGATCTGAGGCGAGGTCACAGATTCTGTCTGTTTCTCCTCCACCCCCAAGCCACTGTCAGCAGATGCCCCTTTGGATTCCACAGCAACTAAGATCACAAAGTATCAGCCACGCTGTCCTTGGACATGTGCAAGGGGAGGATTAGTGACGAAGCCTGAGCCAGAGGACTTAGTCGCACTGCTACCTAAGCTCTCAATAAGGGAAGAGGAGGAGGGAGAGAAGTAGGAGGGAGAGCAGGGAGGAAAAAGTGAAGGACAGAACACACAGAAGTAAGAAACCTTTCTAAAGAGTGTTTTCTTAATTACTTGCAGGCATAGACATACAGATACGAGAGTGAGCCTAGTGTACTCCAGCACACAGTCTTCCCAGACATGTACATGCCGAGGGTGGGCACATGTGTATGTGATGGGTACTTGCATTCATGGACAAGAGTGTGTGCAAACACACACAGAGAAAGAGGTGGGGGACACATAGAGGTATGAATGAAGTACTTCCAGAGTCTACAGTTTGGGTCTTGTTCATAACCCTAAGTGTATCTGGGCGAGAAGGATGGGACATGTTCCTGCTGGTAAACTTCTGGCCTCCACGCACAGGACTCTTTAAAGGCTGTGACAACCAGTTACCACCAGTGGGCTGAGCAGCTCAGCTGAGGTGCCTTCCATTGAAGGCCACAGACAACCAGAGACCCAACGACGCATAAGCACCGGCTTGCATTTTGGCAATGGACTCAGCTTTGTAATGTCACCTAGCATAGGGCGCATGTGAGGATTCTGTAACACGTGGTCCAGGAGAGGTCCTTATGAAACACCAAGACTAGAGTCAGGTTACTGATTCTTTCTGCTCTTACTCAAGACAGATTAACCCAACTCTTCCTTGCTCTGGCTCACTCAGCCTTGGGTCATTCCAGCTTGTGGTGGTTTGTTGGTCAGGAAGATGGTTTGTTCCTCAGTGGAACTCAGGTCTGTTCTACAGCTGCCTAAATTCCTTAATCACTGCACCAAACCTTGAGCTCCTGATGACCTGACCCAGCTAAGATAAATATTTTGTTCATCAACTGATCAATCAAGCTATCAAACTCTCTCTCTTGGACATTGATGGCAATGCCAAATCTAGTGCACCTTCAGGGCATCCTTTGTCCTGAGTAAGACTCCTGCTACAGCCCTCCCTGACTCTCCTAGCTCTCTACACAGCTTCATCTATACTCACTGAGCAGGAGCATGAAGAAACAAAGTCAGAGTTCAGAATGCCAAGCTAATCATGTTGGTGTTTTTTTGTTTGTTTGTTTGTTTGTTTGAGCTACTGGGATGCCACCTCATCCTGTCTGATTATTTTCCAGAACACCACTGCTATGACCAAGTCCTTCACAATACCCAGGTCTTTTTCCCTAGATAACATTCTGTTTGCTTTACCCTCCCCAAACTGTGGCACAGGCTCAGTCCGTGGCTGAGTACTTGCCAGCATTCTCATTCCAGGCACCTCTAATGCACCTAGGCACTTCAGCCCTGGGTTCACTTCCTTTTACCCATCCTCTAATACAGCCAAGTTATAAGATGCCCTACACACACACACACACACACACACTCACACGCACTGCAGCAGACGCTTCTCACAGTCACTTTTCTGATCTGTTAGCTCTTATGCTACCAGCCCTCCCTCATATCACTTCCTTCCCCGCACCAGTGCTAAACTTTTTTCTAAATGTATATGGTGGCTTACCTGCATGTCTGTCTATGCATCATGTATATGTAGTGCCCATGGAGGCCAGAAGAGGGTATCAGATCCCTCTGGAACTAGAGTTACAAATGGTTGTGAGCCACCATGTGGATACTGGGAACTGAACCCAGGTCCTTTGAAAAGCAGTTGGTGATCTTAACCATTGAGCCATCTCCATACCCCCCACCTATGCTATCATGATGCTTTCACTGGGCATAACATGTAGCAGGTCTTCAGCTTCCTGTCTCCTATTACACACCTCCTGCTTTTACCTTAACTATTCCTTTTGCCATTTAGTGGAGCCACCTGTATGCCATGTCTGCTGCCAGAAACTGGGAATCCAAAAATGCCTTAAGGATTTCATATATATCATCTCTTTTAGAACTCCCAATGCAGCTGAGCGGTGGTGGCACGCACCTTTAATCCTAGAACTCAAGAGGCAGAGGCAGGCAGATCTCTGTGAGTTTGAGGCCAGCTCAAGTCTACAAGAGCTAGTTCCAGGACAGCCAGGGCTGTTACACAGAAAAACCCTGTCTCAAAAAACCAACCAACCAACCAACCAAACAAACAAACAAACAAAAAAACTTCCAATATCTTGAGATGATAAAAGGAACTGGTAGGAACCCCTTTCAAGGATGGGAAAAGAGATCTTATACTGTGTATCATCCACTAGCTAGAGTTAGTTGGAAACAAGTTTAAGCCAAGACCAAGCTTTCACAATAAATAATAAGTCTTTGTGTCATTATTTTGGGGCTGGTGATCCAAAAAAAAGTCTGACAAGAAGTCCCATTGTGGGGTAACATATATCCACAGAGGGCCAGAGAAAGTTGAAAAAAATAAAGGTCCAAACTCAGAAGCAGATATAACTTCTTAGTAACCACCATCTCTCAAGCAAACCCAGTGCTAGCAGTGTACAGAGGTGCAGCTCTTTTAAGAGGCCCTGCTGTGCAGCTGAGGACTTGAGCAGCCAGCACACTACTCAGCACCAGGTACAAACCACAGTACAGCTACAACAGCTTCCCAGAGCTGGGATGGATAGGCACAGCTGGGATAGTTAGGTTCGGCTCCCACCACTGTCTGTGGAACCAAAGTGGGTGGAGCCAACCCCCAGCACCATGTGCTAAGACAGCCATGCAGTGGAGGCCTGGTCATTTAATGTTTGTCTCCTATGGTCAGAGAAGGCTGAAGACATGCAAAAAGTCAGGTCCAGGCCAAGAAAATTTCTGAACAGGTACAGTATGCTTAAAAATGTGTTTAGATGCTGAAGAAAAAAAAGAGAAAATGGTTATAGACAGTTATAGAAAAAGATATTAAAAATAATAAAGTAAAATCTTTAAAGAGTGAGTGAAGTAATATAAAATAAATGAGTCATGTAAGAATGGGAAATATAACATAGGACTTCTGGATCCTATAGAGCACTTTGTTAACTTTAAATTTTTAAAAATGCTAATAAACAAAAATGGCAACTGCTGAGAGACACTGAATTGTGAGGGAAAATTACCGAATTAAACCAGTCTATATATTCTAAGAATGTCTTATCTTTAGAATGGAATTCAAAAAATATGCTGCATTGGGAGAGGTTATGACTGTTTTCACAGGAGACAAAAAACTAGATTCCTTCAAAATAAATAAAGACCAGATTTGATTGAGGGAGACCTCCTGAAACTCCTGACTACAGGCATGAAGGAAGAAACCAAGAAAAACTACAAGACAAGTGACGTACAAGCTGGTGACTTAATGTGGGAGCAGCTCAGAGACTGGGTGAGACGTAGTAAGCCATGTTAGCTACCGAGTCCCCATGACTTATTATTACATGTCATCCTTTCATTTGGCATAGATGGAGATTTATATTACAGTTTGGTTACACAGTTCAAATTGACTTATAAATGACAGATGTCTTACATGCTCAAACATATTGAATTATCATTAGTTGATTTGTGCATACTGCATATTCCATACTTGAGTTAATGCAGATGTGTACATTACTTTAAAAGTTTGTGTGCTTTTAGAAGAAAGAGGATCAGACATCAATGAAGACAAGTAGCTCAGCTGATCCAGCCTCTCAGAATGCCTCTGTTGCAGTTTCCTCAACAATCTGTATCCAGAACAACTTCAAAGTGGCCAGCTGAGAGGTTCCAGCCTCGCAGAATACTCAAGCTAGGATTTCAAGCAAACCTTGCACTTTTCCATTAACAGAGACTGGACAACAAATGATACAGCTAGATCTCCTGGAACGTGACCATTAACCCAATTTTCTCAGGGTCTCCTAAAGATGCCATCACCCCCAGGAAGCAGAAAGTAATTTTGAGGACATGATGTCCACATTCTTGAGAAGTAGAATGGGTGGTTTTTTCCTTGTCATTTTTTTTGCCATTGTTTAGGGGAATTGGTTGAAAATTGTTTCTGGTCATGGTAATGGAGAAAAAAAAAAGGGAGGTTGAATTCAAGTATCTTGTTTTGAAAAGAAAAAGAGGCAATATAGGAATGATAGGATAATAGGGTAGATTATTGAATCTACTTTTAAACTAAGAAGCAATTATTAATCTCAAATATTTTACATTGGTATAGATTTTTGTATATTGATACAAATTTAAGGTAATTTTGCTTTAATATACTATATATGTTTTTACCCTTGTTTAAGGTAATTTTGTATATTGATACAAATTTAAGGTTATTTCTGTTATAATCTGTTGTAAGGTAGTATACCTATGCAGCTCATTTAAAAATGTAATGTAAAGCTCAAGTCCTTGAAGGTTATTATTATAAACTATTTAGAATAATTCTAAAAATGCAGGTTAATAGTAAGTTATCTATAACAACCAAACTTGTAACCACGTTAGGTATGTTTTTAAGGTCAAACAGAGATAAATTTAAGATAGATGGTCTTCAAACACTTCAGAAACTACAGAATATGGCATTTAAGATCTTTTAGTAACATAAGGCTTTTCATGAGAGTGAGACATGTATGTTCCTGGAAGCACCAACTTACTTCAGAGAAGATGGTAGGCACTGAAGAACCTCCATCTGGAATTTGCTTTCACTGTAGCAAAGCTAACCATTGGGCAAGAAACTGCCCTTGCCTTGACTGCTGACAGGATACTGTCCAAACTGGACAAGCAGGACACAAAAGAAAATGACTGCTAAATTTTACCAAGACAAGGTAGAACAGTCCTTCAAATAATCCCTGTTTCACTTGGTGGTGGTGGTGCACACCTTTAATCCCAGCACTTGGGAGGCAGAGGCAGGCAGATCTCTGTGAGCAACACAGAAACCCTGTCTCAAACAAACAAACAAATCCCTGCTTTACAGAAAAGTTTGTCAGATATTCTAGACCTGTAGGATGAAGAGGGATGCTCCAACATTGCAGAGAAACCTTAGGTGACTGTTGAGATCGTCATGTGTTTCTGTCATTTCTATAGCATTGAAAGTTCTTTGCTTTATACTTCCTGTTTTCTCAGTAATATTATATCTTTCTCATGTCTTTCATAGGATTGAAGATGAGATAGTTAAGCTATTTTCTTTGTTACCAAATTAAAAACTGAAACCTACAAACAGATATAATTTTTATGTATTTATTTATTTATTTATTTATTTATTTATTATGTATACAATATTCTGTCTGTGTGTATGCCTGCAGGCCAGAAGAGGGCACCAGACCCCATTACAGATGGTTATGAGCCACCATGTGGTTGCTGGGAATTGAACTCAGGACCTTTGGAAGAGCAGGCAATGCTCTTAACCTCTGAGCCATCTCTCTAGCCCCAGATATAAATTTTTTAAGATTGAAAAATATAAACACTTAAGTGATTTATCTAAGAAAATGTTTTAGGTCTAAAATGATACCTTTAGGTTGGTAATACAAGTTATAATAGAAAAAGGTTATGTATAAAACTTTGGACTCATCAAGAAAGGCTAAATAACAGGATAATTTCTCCAAATTTGTCAAATAAATTGGGTATTGTAAATATAATTGTTACCTGATAATTGTTTTTATTGTATATAGTTTTGCTACTTTAGAGTTAAAACTTTCCCTTTTTATTTAGACAAAAAGGAGAAAATGTTGTGGAATATTCGTACACTGTATGATGTACTGTTGTGACTGACTTTTTTTTTTTTTTTTTGGTTTTTCGAGACAGGATTTCTCTGTAGCTTTGGAACCTGACCTGGAACTAGCTCTTGTAGACCAGGCTGGCCTCAAACTCACAAAGATCCACCTGCCTCTGCCTCCCAAGTGCTGAGATTAAAGGCATGTGCCACCGCCATCCGGCAAGTTTTCATAATTAATAATAGTCTTTGTGTCATTATCTGGGCGCTGGCAGTCCCAAAAGAAAGTCTGACAAGAAAGTCCAACTACAGCTGTCTACAGGGAAGAAGGAGCCTGCTTCTGACTGGTCTACGAATATGAGGCATTTTTTACATGATTTGTGTGAAAGCATCGCAGAGGCCAGCTGTGAAATGGATTCCTTCCGGCTTCCAGAAGTGCTCCTTTGCTTGTTCCTGCTTCCTCAGATGCTCTTGGCAAGCTCAGCCTGGTCAAAGCCAACCTGGAAACGACTACAGCAAAGCTTGGGGCCCTGCTGGTGCTGCTTATCCCAGTCAGTGATACTTCCATCCACTCATCCAGCCAGGAACCTGGCAGTGATCTGTGCGCCTCTCTACTCCCCAGAATCCTCCAGTCCTGCTGATCCCAACTTCCGTGTCTCTCTTGAGTCTGTCTCCACCTTCTCATTTAGTCTTTGCTCTAAATATCTCTGATAAGGAGGTTTCTCTTTCCCCCCACAATAGCTTCTCATTTCAAACTAAGGAACAAAACCAGACACAAAGCCGGCAAAGCCTCTGGGAACTAACCACCCGTTCCTGCTCATGCTTCACCACGAACCTCGGTGCCTCCATGACTGTGAGTTTGCACAGACTGAGCCCTCTATTTCGGGTATCCTGCACCATAATTTTCTTCCATCATCCTAACTTTTTCTCACTCTCTAAGAACCAGATCCAGCTGCAGCATCTAGTCAGGGTTTCACAAGGAATACATGTTCAGCAAGTGTTTATTATATGACTAGAGAAAGGACAGATGACTGTACCAAGTCACGGAAGGACTGACTGCACGTAGCAGTTGTCCTATGAAACAGTTTTATATTTACGTACTTCACGCATAATACCTGTTATATAACATACTTTATACTATATATTATACATCATATTGTTATATGATAGCTACTTGTCTATATAGTCATCTCTGCAACTGTGACCTCCTTAGGCAAGACTTGATGTCTAGCTTACTCTGAATGCTCGGCTCCTAGCCAGTGCCTGATACACAGTAGACAATATCTAGAGGATAGAGGGAAAAATGCAGCAAAGAGGATGCCAACATCATGGACCATCTAAGGCTACATAGTAAGATCCTGTCTAAAGGAGGGATGGGGTAGGGAGAGATGACTAGGTCTTGAGGGCACCGCCTGTGAACATGCTGCTATTGAGGAATTATTCTGAGAAACTAATGAAAGCCAGAGACCATCATCTCCCCCCAAATGAAGGGTTTGTAGTGTTTTGCATGGATATTTGGATTAGGAACTTCCATTAAGAAAGTGTTTCTACAGCGGAGTATGGTGGCATATGCCTATAATTCCAGCTCTGTGAAGGCAGAGGCAAAGTTGGCCTGAGATGCAAGGTGAGTTCCAGGCCAACCTGGGCTTACAGAATGAGAAGATGTCACAAACAAACAAACAAACAAACAAAAATCAGAACGTCTCTAAGCTGGGTGAGGTGGTAAATGCCTGTAACCCAAGATCTGCAAATCCAAGCCAGGAAAACTGTAAATCAGAGGCTAGCTGGAGCCAAGGCCTAAGACCTTGTCTCAAAAAATAAAGACACCTCACTAAACCAGATGGGATGGTAAATGCCTTATAATCTCAGTACTCGGCTGAGGCAGGAGAATCATTCCTTTGAGGCTAACCTAGGTTGTATAGTGTGATTCTGACTCAAAAAAAAAAAAGGTTCAGGAGTGGTGGTACATATCTTTAATCCCAGTACCAGGGAAGCAGAGGCAGATGGATCACCGAATTGGAGGCCAATCTGTTATGTGTATTATGTGTAGCAAGTTTCAGGCCAGCCCAGAGCTAAACAGTGAGCCCTGTTTCAAAACAAAACAGAAAATCATCCTTAAAAGTCAAAAAATTTTTTGAAAGAAAACAGTCGGGGAGGAAAAGAGAAAGAGAAAGCAACTGAGAAGGCAGACAGAGTCTCTGGAGTTGGCATCCTGGCATGTCTATTCTGAACTACACTCATTCTGAGGCCCTGCCAGCCCATATGTCACTATAGCAGTTCAGCACAGCGCCAGTTTCTTACACCCAATTTAAAAGTGAGCAAGGGTCTAAATTTCTCCAAAGAAAATATATAAATGGACAATAAATTCATAAAAGAGATATCACATATCACTTACTAGTCATTAGGAAAACACAAATAAAAACAGCAGGGAGACATCCCACAGGATGGCTAAGATGGGAAAAACAGAGTCACCAAGTGTTGAGGACAGGGATAAGCTAGAACCCTGCACATTCTGTTGGGGATGCAAGATTACAGTACAGTCACTTTGAAAAACAGTCTAGTTATGTATCCAGATGATAAACGCAGAGCTATTATGTGAAAAAAAATTCACTCCTAGGTATATGCCCAATATAAATGAAGCATATGTTGACAAAAAAGCTTGTACAATAATTCAGATAAGAGAACATAACAGCCCAAATTAGAAGCAATCTGCCCATCAACTGATGAATAATCACTGGTGTGGGAGGTCCTTCTGTCTATATGTTGCTTTTATAGGTTAATGAATCAAGAAATTGCCTTGGCCTATAGCATGGGAGGAGGAAGGCAGAGTCAGGGAGAAGCCATGGAGCCACCAGAGATAGATGCTAGAAACTTTAGCCGGTAAGCCACAGTCACATGGTGATACACAGATTAATAGAAATGGGTTAAATTCATATGTAACAGTTAGCCAGTAAGAAGCTAGAGCTAATGGGCCAAACAGTGATTTAATTAATACAGTTTATGTGTGATTATTTTTGGGCTAAGCTAGTGAGGTGGCTGGAAACTAATGAGTGGCTCCCTCCAACAAATCACAGCACGGATGTTATTCAGGAAAAAGGGAATACAGTCCCACGGATACTAAAATATTGCTAGACCTTGATACCTCGGTGCTAAGGAGAAAGAAGACAACCACAAAGTTCAACATGCATGATGCCATTTGAATAAAATGGTCCAAACAGGCAAATATATGCAGAAGGCAAACTGCTGGTAATTTGGGGGATAAAGGTGGTTTGTGGGGATGACCACTGGTGGGCACAATTCACCTTGAGAACCCGCTCCATACCAGGCTAAACATCCAAGACACAGTGATTAATAACCTCAGCCCCAGGCTGGCAGGATGACTTAGCGTGTAAAGGCACTTGCTGCCAAGTCTGATGACCAATCATTGACCCCAGGAACCAGGCGGTGGAAGGAGAGACCTGAGTCCAGAAAATTTCCATCTGACCGCCAACAGACTCTGAGGCACATGCACCTCCCCCAAATAGATAAATGCAATAAAACTATAAATAAACAAATTCAGATCCTGGGTTGATATAATTTAAGTGTTGAGGAAGGAAGATATAAAATGGTTACATAGATGATTCCCAGTATGGTAAGTTCTGCTTAAATCCAATTGACTGCTGTCACCTGGGACTACAGAAATACTAACAACAGACCTGAGGGCTGAAGTCAACTATGAAGGACCTCTTTCTTAGACCCAGAAGATCAGAAAGGGCCCCAAACAGGAAGGTCAGGCTAATGACCAGTGTGGGCTTGCCAATACCACCACAGGGAAGTAATACTACACAGCTCCTCAGGTCTTCAGATACCGAGCCCAGACTTCGCAGGAGGGCCTCCTCACAGCTGAATGATGCAAGATAAGCCGCCCCAAGAATAAACATATAACCATGCACAAACCACAAACGGTCACTCGGTCACTTTCATATACACTGACCTGTGCTCACATGTACTATATGCAACCACAACCATGACCCACAATTTCAGTCTCACACCCCGGAAGTATATAAATACTTCACATAAAGAGCTGCGCATGGGCCGCCATACCCAGCTGGCCTTGGCTCCACTCTTCGCTCTCTGGGGTGCTGGTGGTAGGCTGATTCTCTGGATCTTTTCCTTCTTCTTGCTTCTGTAGAAAGAAAGACTCATTCCAGCTTCCTGTCCTCATGGGTCAGGATGTAAGTTCACCTCTAGACCTTGGCCCCTGCCTGGATCTCTGGTTCCATGTTATGCCCAAAATTGGAAGAGTTTCCTGCAGGGTGTATGTGGGAACTCTGCTCCTGAAGTCAACTCATTGCTTGGGTCTGCACCACTCGGGGGTATAGATCCATATGAGTACCCTTGTCACACAGCCTGACGACAGTTCTCATTCCCAGATGGGGAAACTGAGTACATGAGCATCTGTTCTGTGCTGATTTTACCTGCTCAAGAGATTCTGCATCTACAGTTTCAGTCCTGTGTTTCCTGACCTCTCGTTTAGGTACTAGACTCTAAAGATTTCGTTTTCCACGGCCATGCATCCACCTTAGGAGCCAATGCCCTTGTGTGTGCTGTAACCCTGACACCAGTCCATGATGGGAGCCACAGAAAATTAGGAGAGTGATCTGTAGGTCAGGAGTAGTCAGGAGGTGGAGGCAGAAAGATAGGGGTTCAAGGCCAATCACATCTACAGAGTAAGTCCAATTTCAGCCTGGGCTAGCTATATACTAAGTTCTTCTTTCTTTCCTTCCTTCCTTCCTTCCTTCCTTCCTTCCTTCCTTCCTTCCATCCTTCCTTTCTCTCCTTCCTTCCCTCCCTCCCTCCCTCCCTCCTTCCCTTTAATTAGGTTTAATACCTGATTCAAAATGGAACCAGAAGATATGGGAGCAGGCATCACAAGATCTCCACCCCCTCCCCCATCTTGGACTGACAAGATTACAAAGCTGACGTTCCAGCTTCGCATTTCTCTCCCCGTGTCCCTCTTTTTACCATGGCCTCTGTTTCTGACTCCTCTGATGGGCTCTGGTACTCCCTATGTTTCCTCTTCTTCATGGGCTTTAGGAGCTCAGAAGCAACAGTACAGCCCGAGTTCTCTACTATGACTGACCTACAAAAGAAACGTTCTCATTAGAGAAAAACAAAAACAAAAACAAACAAAGCAAAACAACAGCAATAAATAATAATAATAATAATAATAATAATAATAATAATAATAATAAACAACCAAAACACTATAAATTCTGTAGAATTCACAGTATTCACATTCTCCTAAACCTGAAGTCGGAAAGATAACTCAAGGGCTAAAAAACGGGGCAAGAAAGGCTGTAACTCCTCGTTCTTACCGCTTCTGGAAAGGCGGAGGGCAGCGGTCACCTGAAGAATCGAGGTCTGAGGCAGTGCTTTGTTGAGGCCCAAAAGTCTGGCACTCACAGGAGCTCGTGTCTTCTGGGGGTTCCTGAGAGGTGTCTTCTTGAGGGTCCTGGCGGACATCTGTGGAAACCCGCTGGGCCTTAGCCTTCTCACCCTGGAGAGCCACATGCAGGCTCCGCCCACATCCCTACAGCCCATCTTCTACTGGACAGCATCCTTCAGCCTTCTTCACTTAGGACTGCCTCCCTTCACATTCCCCTCTAAGAGTCTTCAGGGAGCTCAAATGTCACCCACCCACACACTGGCCCCGAAAGCAGGATCCTACCAGGATACTGGGTGCCCGTATCGCTTCCTGTAGAACTACCTTCATGTCCAACCAGGCTTTCTCGCTGCCGTTCCGGGCTTGGCGGTGGCTGTACTCCCATCATATTCAATGGCGCATATTCGCTTATTTGGAACTGGCAATACAGAAAAATTTGAGGACCGTGACTAACTACTACATCAGCTCTCCACCCACCTTGGGTCACCCACACTTTATTTTGCTCTGCCAGCTAACACTTCTGGGGGTCTATAGACTCCGCCCACTCCGCCCCGACCACGCCCCCACCTACGGTTCCGGTCAGGGGATTACTCACTCTAAGCCACGCCCACCAGCCTCAGCCTTTCCACCTCAAGCCCCGCCTTCAAGCCCACAGGCCCCGCCCCACAACTGCCAATTCTCTTGGGCACTGACCCGTAGGCCACTCCCAGCTGAAGGTGTGCAAACCCCTGTCCAATCCAGGAGCCTGACTGTGCTATTGGTTCCTGGCCCGGTGCTTAGCTGTGGCAGAATGGTGGCAGTAACTGGTTCGCTGCTAGTCACTCGCTCCAGGGCACCTACACGGACTGGCTCTCGGGGATAGGACACAACTGAAGCTGGGCTGGGCAGACTAAGGGTAGTTGCACTGGCTGGAAACAGATATGCAGATAAGACAGAACACAGATGAGTCGTGACCCTTTCTCCTCCCACGCATGTGTATATAGGTGAAAAGCAGGTATAGAAGAGTGCAAAGTGGCCAGGTGAGGTGGCACATGCCTTTTTAATCCCTGCACTCAGGAGTCAGAGGCCTGCCTGATCTACAAGGCAAGTTCCAGGACAGCCAGGGCTACACAGAGAAACCCTGTCTCAAATCAAACCAAAACAAAACACAGTAACGAAAAGAGTGAAAAGTATCATCCTTGCCCCTGTCCACATCCTCTTAAGCAAGTACAGGACCTCCAGACCACTGATCTTGACTTACTAGGAATAATAAAGGCAGTTGCAGGCAGGTGAGGACGGGAACCTGCGCTGTCTCTGGCCATCAGGTGCACATTGACCTCCCCTGTGGAAGATCCCTTCAGTGTCCTTAGCATCTCCATTTCCGTGTGTCCCTCCATCCAGATGAGTCTAAAAATCAAACACAATCACCAGTATGATGAGGATGGGGATGGAAGGGAATTTTTGGAGGAGAAACCGGTCACCTTCAAGTCAGCAACTTGCTGAGAAAGGTCTTGTTTTTGAGAGGAGTGGTCTTTTTGCTTTTTGCGTTTGGCTTGTTTGTTTTTGAGACAGGATTTCTCTGTAACAGCCAGAACTGAAGGGTTTTAGGATATCAGCATTGGGTCTGACTCCCAGCCTTTACCAGGTTATTGACAGAATTCTGTCCAGGCCCTGCATCCTCCCCTGCCCATTATTTGTGAGGATGGGCATAATGGCATGTGTGAGGGTACCATGCACACTGTGTGTACAGAAATGGCTTATAGGAAGGATGATTCAGGTCAAGGTTCTGTTTTGGTCAGTGGCACAGACCAGGCTAAGTCCAAATCACTTCTTTCTTGATCCCCCACTTCCATTCCCTGTCTTTGAGAACTCAGAGTCTTCAGGACTACATTCTACTCTATTCAAACAGGGTCAGTCCGTGTGGAAGGTGACATCTTTCCTGATCTTGTTCGTTTGTGTTTCCCTGTGCACCACTCCCTCCAACCCCAGACACAGCCATGTATGATCAGCCATAGATTAATTAAAGAGGGCCATAACGCCTAGGCTGCAGCCTCTGTTGAACAAATGCATGTATCTGAATAGCAAAAGAGTAGCATATAAAAACCCAGTCAGTACAAGGTCCAGAAGCTGGGAGTTTAGCTTATTGCAAAGCCCTGCACTAGCATGCATGAATCCTGAGTTCAAATCCAGCAGGGGGGTTGGGGGACAGAGAAGAGAAAGAAAGAGGGGGTAGGGGAGGAGAAGGGAGAAGAGAAAGGAAGGGGAAGGGAGTGGAGGGGAGGGAAGGGGAGAAGAATGGTATTCCACAGTATGGTTACTACTCAGCTGCTCCTTAGTAGCCATGGCTTCAGGCATAGATGGTAAGGAAGAATTTTGCGGCTGAGCCCAGGATGGAGTCTTGAGTTAGACTCTCAGCTTCACCACATTCACTTAGTACCCGTGACTCCAGATATGCAGCTTTCCCACTCTAAGCCTCAGTTTTCTTTTCTTTTGTTTTTTGTTGTTGTTGTTGTTTGTCTGTTTTTCAAGACAAGGTTTCTCTGTATAATCGCTTTGGCTGTCCTGGAACTCACTCTGTAGACCAGGCTGGCCTCGAACTCACAGAGATCTGCCTGCCTCTGCCTTCCAATTGTTGGGATTAAATGTGTGCACCACCACTGCCTGGCAAGCCTTAGTTTTCTTAACAGTAAAGAAAATAAAGGTGACAATGGCACCTACCTGAAGGGGCTTTGGTGAATGCTGGCTGTGAAGTACTGATAGCAGCAGGCCTTCGACAGATAGCAATCCTCTCCCTTTAGAGAGAAACTCCAGGGAGTTTGGCAGCTTCTAGACAATACCATGGGCACTGCCTACTTGCAAAGTCAAGTTGCAATGGCTGCTGTCTTGTGCCCACCCTCCCTTTCTCTCTTGCTGTTCTTGTGCATTCATTTATTTCCAAGAGTTTCCTTCCTAAAATGGAATATATTACAGATGTCTATCATTAGAAGTATAAAGCCATGGTATAAACAGGTCGATAGGGTCAGTTATCTGACCTGATTAACTAAAGAAGCATTCAAACCAAACAAGATGAGTTTTTAAAACTTGAGTTTATAAAAATCCAGTATCCCCCAATTTTAATTTCAATTCATTTTGCTTTTTACAACTTAAGTGTTTATATCACTTAGAAATGTTAGTTTTATTTTATGTGTACAATTGCTTTTGCTGGAGCCTCTGTGCACCGTGTGCATGCAGTACCTGCTGAGGCCAGAAGAGGGCTTCTGATCCTCCTGAAACCGGAGCTCCAGATGGTTGTCAGAGACCATGTGGTTGCTGGGAATTGAACCTGGGTCCTCTACTAGAGCAACAGGTGCTCTTAACCCTGCGCCATCTCTCTCTGCCTCTGCGCCACTTTTAGCTATTTTAAACAGAATAAATATTCTATTTAAAATACTGACAATTATGAAGAGAAGCTGTTTATTCAAAGAAGTCTTTAAAAAAAAAAACAAAAAACCAGTTCCCTCTAGCAGGTGTCTCAGAGAAGCAGCTGAAGATGGTCGTTCTGACAGGACTTTGCTGTCTGGTCTCAGCATGTCCTGGAGAGCCAGTGAAGGGCCAACACTGCTTTATGCTTTGGGGATAGTGGTGCTACTGAGACACAGGGTTCTCATGAGCCTTATACTTTAAGGGATGAGGCTGGAGCTGGAGACACATTTGAAAGTTGTTGCACACAGATGGTGTTTAAGACATAGAAGGGAATGCAGAGAAAAGAGGGAAGCCTTGGAGCACCAGAACAATCACAGGTTGGGAGGGCAGAGGAGATCCAGTGCCAGTGTGAGGAAAGCTCACAGCGAGCTGGGAGCAGCGTCAAAAGAGGCCCCTTCCGGAGACTCACGGAGACAATTGTCAGATAGCAGCCTTGCCAGGGGAACTCTCATTCAAATGTTCTCTCCCTAAGACAGCTATAGATGATCAGTTGGTTGAGGCCTATCAAAGCCCCGTCCCTTTACCTTCATTTGAGGCATCTCTGCAGGGCCATCTCAAGTTTAGGGGTTCCTGCTCCACAGGCTGAAGCTCTGTTGAGACTACATCAGCATTTCACCATCTCTGTTCCATCTTGTTGGCTTCACAGGGTTATGCCCATAAACCTACACTTAAATCTGTGTTTCCAGGAAATCCTACTTAAAACGAGAGTAGTTGCACATAGCAAGCGCTCAATAAACAATTTTTGAACGTATCCATATTGTCTGCCAGGCTTTTTACACACTCCACCCAGAGCCCTTTGAGGCCTTGGATACAGCAGATACCCAATAAATGTCCTGGTGGTAGGTGTTGGAAAGAAGGGAGATAGTTCTGGAGGCACACAGAAAACTTGGAGGGGGTTCCCCCAGCTCGTCCCTGCCGAAGCTGCAACGTAGACGCTAGCGAGTGGAATGCGCGGTTGGAGTGTCCAAACCCACCACCCGCCTCCCTCGACTAACGCAGACAGTTGCGGGCGGGGCGGTCACTGAATCCATTTGCTCTGCAGAAGAGTTACTTTTTTAAAAACGTCAAAATGGCGGAATTCTTTAGTCGTCCCCCCCCCCCCCCGCTTTATAGCCAATTTTTTAAAAATCCTATTTTGTGTTAAAAATATTGAAAATCAGAGACAGAGGAAAGTTTGCCAAATGGCCTATGGAAACCCAAACTCGCCCTCCACACCGTCTCATTAATGGAAACTCTTAATCGATTGCATGTCTTTGCAAGGCCGAGTCTCTGACCTCCCTGCGGCTCTGGATGCCGATAGCAGTGCCGGTGGGCTCGCTCGCCCGGCATCCCGCAGCCCCCAAAGGGAATGCCCAGCCCTGGTACTGCAGAGCCACCTCCCCAGCCTGCGGCCAGTGCGGCAGGAACTGGGAAAGAACCTGGGGCGGGGCCCGCAGGATACCTGCGCTCGCCACGCCGGCCGGGACCGGAGTGTGACGTCCCGGGAGCCCCCAACCGGAGTCCACCGACCCGTGCTTACCTGCAAGGCTAGCGGGTGCAGCCCGCGCCAAGTGACCGTGGGCGCCCGGTGCGGCGCGCGCCTGCGCACACAGGGGGGCGGGTCCGTTCCCTGCAGAGCGCGGCGCGGAGCTCCTTAAGCCGCCTGGTCTGAGCGGCCGTGGACCCAGGTTGCAGCTTTTTTTTTTTTTTTTTTTTTTTTTTTTTTTTTTTTTTTTGTCGGAGCTCTGGGGGGTGCAGGCTTAATTGCCTCTTCCCCACAGGACCCGTTAGCTTCTCGGGAGAAGTGGGTGGAAATTCTTACAGTATTCTGGGAACCACGGAGCCGGGAGCGGCAGCCAGCCTGATGGACCTCCAGCTGAGTGGTCTGTACCAGGCAAGGTGCACCCCTGTATACACCTGGGTCCCACATTTGGAGAAGGGGATTTCAGGATTTTCGGAAAACTCTCCTAGGATGGGTGAAGAGCACGCATCCCATATCAAGGAAGCTTGGCCCCACGCGGCGTCTGGCCTTGGGCTTGCCTGGCATGAAGGACCCTAGCTGTGCCAGCCTTTGGGTGACCTACTGCCACTGGTTGATGACGTGACCTGGGAACATCACTGTACTCCTGTGCTTCCGTTCAACATTGAAAGACTGTCAAGCCTTGTTCTAGAGTTCTATAATGGTTCCTTTAGTGTTGATTCAAGCAGGTCACTGGCTCCTCTTGCGCCTTCCATTTCCTGAGCTCATCTCTCTACCAGACCTCTATTTTATTGGTTCTTATTCTGGTACCACGGCTATAACTCATAGAAACGAGTAGTTCAAGAGTTTAGGAGACCCTGCGCTCTAGAATGAAGAAAATACACCAGTTCTTAGTATTCCCAGTTCCTAGCACACTGGGTATTAATGAACAAATGTCTTCTGGTTGACTCTTCAGTGCCCCACTTCCTTCTTACACATAGGTTATTTTGCCCTTATTTCACCCAGAAGGAAAGAGGTCTATTTGGCTCTTAGGTGGTAGCCATCAGCCAAATCTTTAGATTCCTAGTCCAGATAAAAAATAATAGTTCTTACTTAAATGGTAAACTCTCACAATTGTTGTGACCAACAGTTTAAATTTGAACTATTCTTTACATATGTTGTCCAGTCTCAACAGTTCTGAACACATTTTGTGTTCTTAGGGACAAGATTAGCCAGAAAAAGGATGGGGACTGCCATAATCATAGAAGCCTCTTTAAACACAGCAACACAACCATTGCTGTTTTCGTTTATCTCTATTCAGACTATGCTTATTTAAGATTCCAAAATGGTTAAGTATTAAAGTGGTTAAACCTATTAGAACACATGGTTTCTCAATAACAAATTCATCTTTTAGTGATTCAAACAGATGCGTGAAATTTGAGCAGGTGGGATTCAGAAACGGCTCATATAGACTTCAGTTGCTACTTTCTGCCTATTTACATTCTCATCGGTCTTAATACCTGTTGTTCATTCCAACACCTCCAGGGATAGAGAGCCCCTTCCAAGCTCATGTGATATGGGCAGCTCTGCCCCTATGCTGTTTACCCTGCTGGCCCCAGCTTGCTTTAAGAGGAGAGTGAGCAAGTTCAATGCTTCCTTCATATTCCACCCCCTTCCCAAGATTGGGCCCAGATGGTGTTGGCATAGAGAAGCATGGAGCAAACTTGTTTGGAGGCAGCCCATTCTTCCTGTTTCACTAGGAGCTGAAGTCACTGTTGATCCAAGGATCTCAGAATAGCAGGGTTTTGCCCTTCACATGTGAAAACATCTTTGCTTCCCCAAACACGTCAGACTGCGCAAATTGGGAATACTTTTAACACAGAAATTCCCTGTCTAAAGACACCTAAAAAGGCTAAAATATCACAAGGAAGCCGGGTGGTGGTGGTACAGCACTCAGGACGCAGAGGCAGGAAGACCTCTTGAGTTCAAGGCCAGCCTGGTTTAGAGTTTCAGGATAACCAGGGTTGTTATACAGAGAAACCCTGTCTCGAACTCCCCCAGACCCCCAAAAAATCACAAGGGGGCTTGAAGAGGTGGCTTGGTGGTTTAGAGCATATGTTGCTTTTGCAGAGAACCTAGATTTGATAGGTGACTCATAACCACCTGTAACTCCAGTTCCAGAGGATCTGATGCTGACTTCTATGGGTACCAGGAAGGCATAATGCACATGCATACGTATATACTACATACAGACATGCAAGCAAAACATTCATACACAAATTAAAACTATTACAAGAAGCAAGCAAACACAAAGATGGGAAGTAATTCACTGAACTTGTTAAGGGGGAATCGTCAGGAGCAGCCGTCAGGAGCAGCACACAGGGAAGCAGCAACTCTGTCCTGGCATCTCTTGTCATGGAGGGGTGGGGCGAGTCCCAAGTGACTAGAGTCTTCGATTTTATCACTCACAGTGAAAGCAGATGGGGCATTAAGTCTTTGTGGTATTGTGGACTTGGAACTGAAATTCTCTGTCTAAAGATCACTCATTTTCTGAATGAGTGGGGGCGCCTTTCAAACTGTCCCTTGCTGGAAGAAATAGTCATTATTAACTGAGTCCATTTTTTCCCTCTGGCTTGTTCTAAATCATTTCTCCTCAGCTCACCTTGCCTTCCAGAAAGCCCTGCAGACTGTTAATTTTTTTTGGGGGGGGGTGGTTCAAGACAAGGTTTCTCTGTGTAACAGTCCTGGCTGTCCTGGAACTTTGTAGATTAGGCTGGCCTTGAACTCAAAGAGATCTGTCTGCCTCTGGCTCCCAAATCTTGGGATTAAAAGAATGTGTCACCATCACCCAGCCACAGACTGGTAATCTTATGTCAGAACTTAGCTGTCCACTCAATGATTCCCCAGGTATAGGTGACCCCAATAACCCCACACAGAACTAGCCCTGTATGACCAAGACTGCTTGGCTGTATGTTTTTCCTACCCCGAATTCTTTCTGGAGTAGCCCTTAAACTCCTGTTATTATCTTGAAGAAGCCTAGGAGGCCAGTCCCATTCCTTCCAGATGGCCATACTAAATTCTTTACTGGGAACAGAACCTAAGAATCTATGCATACTCAACCAAACCAACCAAAAATAAATAAATAAATAAAAAACCCCAAACTCTACATCCCCAAACCCCTTCTTTCTGAAAAAAGTTCCTATTGAGCAGTTTTGCTAATGTAATCCTATGTCAGTCTCCCAAGTAGCTGGGATTACAGGTATGAGTAACAAGCTCAATTTAGCCACTATTCAGGCTTTTAAGGTGACATCCAAATTTGGTCTTTGGGGACCAAGAATTAGGCAACTACCTCATTAGACTACAGGTCCAGGAAAATACATAGGCCATTTGGGGTGGGCTCAGAAAGCATTTTTCTTTATATGGATGCTTAGTGGAGACACATCATCTGAGGAGGATAGAATACCTAAACTCATATCACATGCACTAGGAATCACACACACAGTACCCTTTAGAAAGTATTGTGTGTATATGATGTATGAGTATAGGTATACATGTGCCATGGCTCATGAACGGAGGTCACAGTACAACTTTTGGGAGTCAGTTCTTTTCTTAAATCATGGCATCCATGGATCAAGCTCCTGATGCCAAGCTTTCAAGCGTGCACGGCAAAGCTTTTACTTGCTGAGCCATCTCCCTGGACCTACCCTCTTGGCAGTCATATTGAAGCAAGAAAGGCAAAGCAAAAACTGGTTCTGGTAGTACAATTAAATGTACTACTCCAAAGAGACAAAACACCAGTCATGGGAACTTGCCCATTTAGCCATCAGCAGACCCGTCTACACCGACTTGAGGTACCAGTACAGTTTGAAGAGTATAGGGCTCAAAGGCACATTCATGTTGTCCTGGTAACTGAGCCAAGATTTCTTGAGCCCAATTCTGAGCTTACCTGGGCAACAAGGTACCATACTGTTAAGGTTACCCTCAGACTTTTTGTACATAAGGACTGCATGTTGTTTGTTTCTTATGTGTGCCTGGATACTCTGGAATTGGAGTTACCATGTGATGCTGGGACTTGAACCTGGGTCCCCTGGAAGGACAGTCAGTGCTCTTAACCACTGACTCATCTCCCTAGCCCTTAGATTGCTTTATTTATTAAGGCTGCTGGGGCTGTTTTAGAAATTTTGCTTTCACCTGATTTCTTGAAAAGTCAGCCAAATAGCTTAATGTGGGTTGGTAACAGAACTTTTACCAAGAATAACTCCTCCATTTTGGTCTATTGTCATGTTTACATATGCTAGGTTTTGTGTGTGCATGCACATGCTTACATGTCCAAAGGACAACGTACAGTTTTTTTTTTTGACTGTGTTGTGTTCCAAGTACTGAACTCAAGTTGTGTCAACCATGGTAGAAAGTGCTTTTACCTGTTGAGCCATCTCCTGTACCCCCATTTTAGGGTCTACTGCTGGAGCTCAATCCAAAACAATGACCCCCCTGTAAGCTTTCACAGAGGAATGGAAGCTCACAATTTTGGCTTGTGAGCTCACCCTCAGATTGCAGATGCTGCGTCATTTTTTTTTTTTTTTTTGAATCCACAGGCTGTGGAAGCCTGGGGTCTGAGTAGTACAGGATCCCTAAAAGAACAGAGGATCAGAGAAATAAAAAGCGATAGGACAGCCATGACTCAGTATGAGGCCCTTCAGAAATATATCACAAGGTTCTAGATACTTTGGATAGGTAGGTAATTCAGCTGAGCAGACTCAAGCAGACATAGGACAAGGTGACAGTAGATGCTTAAATCCATCCAGTCCTGTAATCTCAAGCCCCATTGTTAAGATCACAGTGACACCAGTAAGAGACACCACTAAGAATGAAGACATTCCTTCTTCCTCCCATGTCCATCTTGTTTGCACAGACTAGTATAAGTATGGACATGTGACCCACATCTAGCTGCCTAAATAGTCCAAAGGAAGGGACAGCCCGACATAAAGGCCTAGTTTAGGAACTCTAGGGTTTTAACACTCATTGCAAAGACTGGTTAGCTGACGCATCTCCAGCTTCCTGGGCTGGGCACTGCAACCACTTAAGCCTTAAAAAAGAGTCCCAACGACCATCTATGTTGTTTACTTGCTCTTCGTGCCTTTAAAAAGTAATTACCAAATAATATCTTTAAATAATGCCTTTAAATAATAATCATCAAATGGTATCTTAGGATGGAAGAGAGGAAATGATGTGCATGGCTGAGGGAATCCTAATCCTCATCAGAATACCACTGAGACAGCTCAGGGGTTAAAAAGCACTTGCTGCCAGTTCTGGTCATTTGGGGTCAATTTCCAGAACCCACAAGGTAGGAGTGAACTGCTGAAGGCAGTCTTCTGACACCTACATACATAATAATAATGTAAGAAAAAAATATCATTAGTCAGGAATATAGCTGTGGTAGAACACCTATCTGGAATGCATAAAATCCCAGCAACTTTGCTCCCGAACACTACAGAATGAAACAAAACACCGGGTTCTCAAGTAGAGGTTTGGAATGTGGTCAACAGACCCAAGAGGACCACAGATTGTTCAGTTACATAGCAGTTTCCTGAAAATCAAGGTGTGGCTCTATTTTCTTGATCTTTTTGCAATGCCAGGTACTGAATGTGCTACCAGCACTACAACCATTAATACTCCTGGCCTGTGACTCAAGTGTACGGAAATTATAGGCAGGTGCCACCACACTTAGCTCCAGGGCAGGATCTGGGGTAGCAGGGCCTCGATGACTGGAACATGTGGTGGTCTGTGATGGTAGTCATGTTTAGGACTGCAGGGTTTCAAACCCATTGCTAGAAAAGTACTAACTCAAGCATACCCCAGGTCCATACCTTTGTATGAAGGTAACGTTGTTAGGGGAACTCAACCGAGTGCAGTCACAACTAAAATGCAACTAGTATAAGTCTATAGATAAAATTTTCTTTTCTGCAAACAGGCACCATCTACTTTAGAAATCAAGTGCTCTGATGAACTGAGCAGAATTGGCTTCATAGGCACAGGGTTGAAGGATCAGAGTAAGATGGGGTCCTTCATTTCAAAGTGTTCCTTTTCTCATAAAGGCCAAAGCAGAAGGGCTTCCTTATTAGGTCAGCTAGGATTGGCCTGAGTGAGGCTCTACCTATTTACTGTCTCTCATTTCTTGAGAGGCCAAATAAACAACTGTTTTCTGCATGACTTCAAACCTGAGCATGAGCGATTCCCCTCTGCTCTGTTGGGCCTGGTGCAGGAAGTCCACACCAACAATCCTCCGACAATTTCATATGAGAGCTTATTAGGACATGTAAGGCTAGATTCCACCCAGTATTTCTCGATCTGGATCAGTGTGTCCAGGGTGGGACCTGAGAAGCTGCATTTCAGACAAGTTCCCAGCTGTTGATTTAGGTAAACATCTGTGAAAAATAAAATCTATCCATTTACAGCAAATGCAAAGGCATCAGACAACTTTAATTAAAGCAAAACCAAGACTGGGAAAATACACAATGACCTAGCTGCTTCAATCTTTATGGGGCAACGGAAAAATTTTTGTAAACCCACCCTCCATTTGGGGCAAACTTACCTATGCAGCCCTGATTTCAAAAATCATCTTGTGTTGGATTACAGGCTTTGGCCACATTTGGCAGGGCTTAAAGAGATGTTAGAAGCCCCCTCGAACTATGTACTATATCTTATCATTATTAAATGCCGAGAGTTACCTTCAAAATTGGAAGCACACAGTATATACTGTTAAAGCTTAAGTGGGTGGTGGTTTATCCCACTATTCTTACTGGTATTTTAAATTCACTATAAAAGTTAACAGCAATGGTCAAGTGTCATGGTACATGCCTATAATCCCAGTTCTCAGGCTGAGGCATCTTAAACTGCTGTGAGCTTGAGGTCACCTAGATCAGAGTGACTGTCTCAAAACATGAGTATACTTATTTTGTACACAAAAGCCTCCAAAACATCCTTCTGCAGTTTTGTCACTTCCTAACCCAAAATGTTTGGGGGTTTTGTTAACTGAGAGCTAGTGTACTGGAACCAGTGCCCTGGGATATTCAGACTATTACATGTCTATCTATTATTCATGCTGTCAAGAAGCATCTCCAAAGTAGAGTACAACACCTGCATGTCTTACTTCCTCCAAGGAATCAGGTGGACTTCACTGCATCACCCTTTGTTTACATTTTATTTTGGGACTGAAATTCCTTTCTGGTCAAACTAGTGCCCATTACTTTATTAAAAGCTACAATAGAAGCCTGTAAATCACTACTGAAAGTCAGGTCTACCCACAAAGGCTACTTATTTAGGATCTGAAGAAAACTGTATTAACCCACCCTTTTAGCAAAGGCTACACTTGTGGTTAGAAATTTAAAATTATCAAGAGTCTGAGGTGGTAGGATTGCTGAGCTGAAGGTCAGGCCCTAAATACAGTGCCAAGAAAAAAGTGACAAGCACATGTACAAATGTGATACTACATGCCACTGATACTGCCTTAAGTCCAAAGTCATCCTTAGTTTGAGACCAGTCTAAGAAATAAAGACACCTTAAATAGTATCTTCCTTAGTAACTAAACTTAAATTTTATATTCCAAGTGTTTTTTTTAAGACAAGCTATACTAATTATACTGGCTGGCAAGATTCCTGCCTTAGCCTCCCACGCTAACACCACAATCAGTCCCCTATTAGTTTGCACATGTGAGGGAAAAGCTGCATCCTGAACTATGCTTCAAGCCCTAGATCATTCTTAGAAAAACAAGAAACTCCACACTAAGTTCCACCACCATGTGCATGAAATCAGATCCACCACAGGTGAGGCTTTTGAGAACAACATGAAGCAATAGGAATGCAATGGTATTGAAAATGAAACCTGCAAAGCCTAGAGTGCCCAGGATTAAGTACATAGATTAAAGATTTGCAAAGTATTTAAATTTTCCTAATTTGAGAAACTGTGTTGAAAATATTGACCACAAGATAAAAATGGACAAGAGTAAATACAGGAAAATAAACAAGACAAACCATTTACTGTCTCCAAACTGCCTTCTAGAGCTAAAATAAGAACACATATCAACTACTAGCCAATGGTAACTACAACTCAAAAAATCACTGGCCAAGTAATTGGTGTCAAGGGACAACACAATAAACTCAGAACAAGTCTTTCCCTTGGTAAGCGTTTTATTGAGATAAAGCATAAAATAGGTTAACAAAGTAGAAAAAAAGGAATATCCAAGATGAAAGCAATGTTAACACAGGAGGAGTGGGAACATAAAGGCTGAAGTAGGCAGGACTCAAACTGGCCATAAAGGCACTGTGGCATATCAAGAAACGCTATCACGTCCAACAGGACTCAAGATGTTCCCCACTTCTCTTGTGCTCTTTTATCAGTTGGTGCTGTTGATACTCCACCCAGGGCATCACCAATGTGTGCAAGATGGGATTCTTAGATTCTGCGTTTAGTTGGTAGGAACTGAATTCACTAGTCAATAAGGAACTAAACATTTTAAGTCAAATTTGCTAAGGCAAACACTTTAAATGCAGTGGTTTATTTAGTGCATTTAACAACTAGGGTCTAAGGTATGAAAAAAGCCTAGATTTTTAAAATGGCCTTTGCCCCTAGAAAAATTATATGGGTGTTGGCATTTACCTATACATTATATGCTTATTGGGGCAGCTAAAAATAGTCAAATGCCTCCATCATGTACTATATAACAGAAGGCAAGCCCAGTTGAAGATGCGTGCAGTCAGAAAACCAAATTTTACTGATAACCTTTCCTCTCTTTAAAAGGATGTGGCTCAGAAAGCTTTTTATATATTTTTCCCTGAAAACAAAGAACTTTGGTCAAACCCAATTCTTAAAGAGCCATCACTTCTGTCTTTGAACAGGCAAAATAGTAAACTACGACCAGAAACAATTTTCTTTTAACTTCTGAAATTTACACTGAAAAAATAAACCTATTTCTTATAAACATCTAAACAAAACATCAAAGAAAAGATGACTAAAGCAGCATCAGTTTTATCTGACACTATTTCCTAAAGTTAGTCTTTTAGATTTTTTAACAGAAATTTCTTGAAAACATTCTCCTTTCTGTTTCCAAGTATTCCCAGCTACTGACACCTATGTAGGCCCTTGAATACCCAATGTCCCACTCAGCCTCATTGTATTGCATGTCTTCCGATTATTCAGTCCCACACAGCAACCCTATAACACTATAATCCAACCCTTGCTAGGTTATGTAGCAACAGCTGAGGAAGCCAATTCATCTACACCTTGACTAAAGACTGAGGTTAAGTATTTAGGATGAAATGACTTTAAAAACGTCTGAACAACGAAAGGGTTGTAAGGTAATTCACTTATTGATTGCAGTCTCAACGATCTGGGCTTTTGGATGCATGGAAACTGCAAGTCCAGTTATTCCTACAAGTTTGCACTATTTATTTTAACTTGGTTTCCACAGTGTTCATAATGCTTTACGTAAAAAGCACAAAGCATTTCAAGTTCATCCATGTCACTGTTTTTGCAAACCAACCACAAAAGCCCCACTAAGACAATGGGACTGATTGTTGGGAAGTTATAACCAGCAAATATCTTACCAAGTAGTCTGCTAAGCACCTGTTACATATAAGCAACTTTCAGCAGAAAATGCAGCATTATGTGCTTTTCCCACTTTGAATAAGATAACTAAATTTCTAATCAAAGAAAGGCTACTTCTGTTTTCAAAATATTAGAGACCACCAAACCATACACTATCACTAATTACACTGACCACTTCCAGAACACAGGATAACAAGATCCCAAGTACTAGGACCTACTTCTTGAAGAGTTCATTTGTAATCCTTTAGTTTCTTTAAAAACCTATTAATTGGACAAAATCTTGTGACACTAACTACAAAGTCCTTTTTACTTTTAACTCAACTGGTTAAAGGGGCAGAAAAAGACTTTGGTAGATTTAATTAACAGCACAAAATAAGGTTATCCAAACTGATTAATTTATTGCTGGTCTGAGGCTTGCCTTGTTTTTACACTTCAGTGAAACTTACACTGTCTCCATAAATGGCAGGTATCAACACTTACAGGGCCCTAAGTAGTGACCTATTCAATAAGGCAATCATCTTGGTAGCAAACTTTTATTTAAATCTTACATAACTCAAGCTTTATAAAAAGCCAACATAATTGAAAATTTGGGTTCTCCCTGTAAAGCCTGCAGTATCCAAAGCTTGAAACAGTTAATTTAAAAATAAGCAAACAAAACAACAGAACCCTGCAGCAGATTCTGCTGCAATATTTTTTTAAAAAAAAAATCTAAATGAGCTTAATCTTTACAAAAGTTATTTTAGGCTCAAAGGCTATAAAATCAAAATTATCTTAATTCTACAAAGAAGGGACAGGGCTTCATACTACCACTTTAAAACCTCATCTTTTTCTCATTAAATTTGGCCACAAATTAAATTCCTGTGTTCCCTTTTCAGGAAATCCTCTTGAAGAAGAGGCCAAGTACAAACTCGGAAGAGTAACTGCCTAAGCAAGTAGGAAAGTGTTCCATTAATAGTGTGCAAAGAACGTAGAGTTCAGGGTTAATCTCTGGAACTTGATCTGGACCTTGAACGAGATCTAGAACGGGACCTGGAAGCTCTTTTTGGTGGAGGGGACACAGAACGGGTCTTTGAAGGTGGAGCAGGCAGAGGTGAATGGGATCGAGACTGGCTCCGGGATCTGGATTTTGACTTTATATCTCCTTTTCCATTTTCTTTGGGGGACCGAGAACGTGACCTACTTCGGGACTTCCCATACTCATCCTTAGATCTGCTTCTTGAATGTGAGTGGGAACCCCGATCAGACTTGGGCTTAGATTTGCTCTTTGATCTGGATTTCCTGCCTTTTGAGCGGGATCGGGATCGACCTTTGCTCCGCGACCTAGATCTGTGTAAAAAAAAAAAGTCAGATTTTTTCAGTATCTTGTCAGAAAACACATGAATGCCATCAACAAGTAAAATTAAGAGAGACCCAATATCACATTATTTACCGGGAGCGACTTTTTGAGATACTTCGAGATCTACTGCGGCTGCTCCTGCGACTCCTACTCCGTGACCTTCTTCTAGAGCGTGATCTATACACAAGAGACAGCGACATTTCTAATCTCTTTAAGAACGTATTTGTACTACTCAGCTATGGCTGAAGTATGTTTACTACAACCAAGAAACATCATAAATTTAATTAAGCAACAACCGAAAATTATAAGCCACCCCAGCCCCTCATGTTACCTGGATCTACTTCCAGAGTAAGAGCGCCTATGGCTTGTTCGTGGCTTATCTTCAATAAGCCTAATATTTCTGCCATTTATTTCTGTGCCATCCAGTTTATCCAAAGCACGCTTCATGTCAGAGTAGGATCTAAATTCAATTACACCCTCATTTGTGCGTTCTTTGTGCGCATCTGCATAAGTCACCTCTCCTGCTTGCCGCATGAAATCCTAAAACAGTAAGACTGATAAGCCCCAGAAATCTAGAGCACGTCTATGCAGCACTAACTCTTAAGGAAATGACCGCCCACTGTCACTTAAAGCCCAGGTACATACCTTTAAGTCTTGCCAACTGCAACGACTAGACAAATTTTCTACAATAAGCCTGTATTCTGTACGAACAGGTGGTCCATATTTGTCTCTGCCAGAAGTTCTCCGACTGCTGTATCCACCTCCACCACCTTTATCACACGGAGGGAGTAATTAGATGCATTGCAATGACAGGGACACATGTTTTTGAAAGTTAGTACAAACATAGCAACGTTTATTACTGGAGTAGGACTTTGCTATTATACTGCTAAACCCTCGATACATTTGTGATTTGCCACAAATTAAATTAAGGGCAAGTCAAATAGACTAAATCCAACTAACCCTCTCCTGCAATCTGTTAGAGAGTGACTGCTCCTTTATTCAATTTACCTCGCTAAGTTTTATTTTACAGAACATTGTAAAATATAAAACTTAACTGATTACATGCATTTCTACATTTTACAAAAATGTTTACTAATTACACTAAGTACTTACATCACAGTGTGAGGTTTTTGGTGGTGGTTTGGCCACAAAACACGCAAGGTAACAGTCACCTAGTTCAGATTAACCAGTTTTGTCTAACCCTTGGAATCCTCACCATCACCCTGCGTCTAATGGCAAAAGGCTGCTGTCGTCATGGCTTCCGGTAAGGTCAGCCAAAGGGTCATAGGGCAAGGGTCACACAATGTATGGAAAAGCCAAGGCCAATCAGGAAAGGCAGTCATCTTAGCCTCAGTGGACACAGCCTCAGCCCCATTGGTCACTTTTAAATTGAAACATCAAGGACTTGTTAAAAAGTTTGAATTCAACATGCAACAATTTCAACATTAAACATTTCACATAGCCAAAACCCCCCAACCCCCACCCAGTAACATGCCCCAACTAGTTCCAATACAGCATAAAGCTTATTTAGATTTACTTTGTGGTGTTCTACCACATTACTTAATTTAAAATGGCATTTTCTTTGGCCCTCGTCCAGTCTTCCCCTCTCCTAAGACTTATGCTTCAAGCTCCTCCCCCCTTCTCGGCCCCCTTCCCCACCCCCCGCCCCAGCTTTCCTTAAAACTTCCTCAATGCTAACTAAGGCACTGACAGATAAGCAAGGGGGAATAGTACAAATACACGCAACCCTCGCTTTCCACGTGCGGAGAGCCCGCGTCAGTGCCAACGAGGGCCAACTGATGCCATCCCTTCCAAACTTAGTTAACCTGCCACCCGACCCAATCCCCGCGCTCCGGTGTCCCGTGGCTACCCGAGCATGCGTGGAGGGAGAGGGGCCCAGGAAGACCCAGGGCCAACGACCCCCGGCCTCCGCGCCTGCCCGGGTTGGGGAGGTCCCGCCCTGCCCCGCCCCCGTGACTGCACCCACCGCCCCCTCCCGATACCCAGGACGCGGAGCGCGCGGGGGTAGGACTCACTGCGGCTTCCGTAGCTGTAGCCATCGCGGTCGCGGCGCGGGCCCCGGGCGTGTTCTACGATCACGCGCTCGCCGCACAGCTCCTTGCTGTTCAGCTCGTAAACGGCGTCGTCGGCGTCGCGGGAGTCCTCGAACTCCACGAAACCGTACCTGAGGAGGGGCGGAGCGCGGGCCGCGCACCGGCGGGCGTGTCGTTAGCCGGTGCCGCGCGCTCCCGCGACTCC